AATAATCATGGCTGCTGGTTCCTGACATATACTCCTAGTTCTCAGTTTATGAGAAAGAGAAAGAATCCAAACTTGGGGAGCCAAACCCATTGTAAGTAATAACATTCGTGAAAATACATGGAAGGTTACAGTGCTTTATTGTTTTCATCTTCTTAAGAACACAATCATATTCCCATCCTTTAGTCCTGAGATAGGGTCTAACGCCCAGGCTGGCCTCAGACTTGCATTCCGCACACCTCAGTCTCTGGAGTACTACGATTAAAGATCTGTGTCTCCACGTTCAGCTTTCCCTTGTTTTAAATTTTCTTTGACTGAATAAGAATATGCTATCCTTGCCTCTGACTTGCCATTTAATAGGTGGGAAGACAATGGAGACGTAATATTTTGAAGATGCTCTCTTTCTTACCTATCTAAAACATTTAAATATGGTCTTGCAGCGTTGCTCCAGTTAAGACAGTGGTCCTCAGCCTTTCTAGTGGTACAACCCTTTAACGCAGTTCCTCATGCTGTGGTGACCCCCAGCCATAAAATTATTGAAAAATTACTACTTTATAACTGTAATTTTGCTACTGTTATGAACTGTGATGTAAATATCTGTGTTTTTAGATGGTTTTAGGTGACCCCTGTTAAAAAATCGTTCAACCCACAGAGGAGTTGAGACCCACATGTTGAGAACCATTGAGTCAGGAGAAAAGCTATATGCAGTTAGAGTTCTCTGTATCATCTGCCACATTGTGTCACCCCTGCAAAGAGGACAAGCACAGAGCAACCAATCTCTGCGTAACTTACCAGCCCTTTCACATTCCTGTCTTCCTCCCTTTCAGTCTGTGGGCACAGCCATGAAAAGTTAGAGGGATGAATGGGATTTAAGTGTTTTCAAGTACAGTACATGAGCTAGCGTTCTGAATCACGAGGAATGAGCTTCTTATTGCCAGTGAGACACAGTGTTATGTTAGCAGCTGGCGAAAACCTCACTGGAGCAAGGTGAAATGCATTTACAGCACGGAAAAATCATAAAACAGAGAGTTCTAGATTTGTAAAAACAGTATTTTGTAGCTCTAATATAACTGAATCAGCCATAGTAGCCGGGCATCTGCTCAAAGCCATCTCACTTGTAATTCATAAACATCAATCTCTAAAATGCTTTCTGATCAATTTTTTTTGAACCTTGGGCAATAGTTGATTAAATATATTAGATTAAGAAAAATTAGGGCCAGGTGGTGGTAGCGCACACCTTTAATTTCAGCACTCGGGAGGCAGAGCCAGGAGGATCTCTTTGAGTTCAAGGCCAGCCTGGTCTACAGAGTGAGTTCCAGGACAGGCTCCAAAGCTACACAGAGAAACCCTGTCTCAAAAAACCAAAGAAAAAATAAATAAATAAAAATTAGGATGACTCTGAAATATGAAACTACTATAAAGTAATACAAAGACAAAAACTAATGATATTTTTAGTAGCCATAAGATAATTATTTAATTTTTAAAAAATCTACAGCTTAGTAAGCAAAATTAGTTAAAAAAGAAACTACAGTAATATCAAAAATTTAAAGTATAAAAAAAATAGTTGTGCGTGTGGGTGAGAAGGTTCAGCAAGTAGAGGCACTGGCCACATAGGCCTGGCACCTGAGTGCCCCGCATGGAACCCAGTGAAAAGGTCAGAGCTGGAGAGACTCCACTGTACAAAGATATTCTCTGACTTGCAGGTTAGTGGAGTGGCATGTGCCCCCCAATCATCCAGACATACAGCAATAACAAATAAAAATTTTAAAAGTTGTGGGGCATCAATGAATACTTACTGTTTTATTAATGTTAACATGTAGAATATAAATATGGAGATATTGAGGACTTCTGTTAAACATGTGTTCACTTATTACAAAACAGTCATCACAAATATGGTATGTATTCATTTATATGTGGATATTAGCTGCTAAATCAATGATAACCAAGGTATAATCTGCAGAACCACAGAGGTTACATATAGATAAGGTACTAGGGGGACAGGTAGAGCTCCCTAGGAAACGGAACTATAATATTTATGGACAGATCAGGACAGGGGTGACTGGAATGTGAGAATCAAGTGGAAAGGGGAAGAGAAGAGGGGATGAGGGAGAGAATATAGGGAGGAACAGCTAAAATTAAGAGCCAATATGGTACAAGTTTCCGTGTGTGTGTGTGTGTGTGTGTGTGTGTGTGTGTGTGTGTGTGTGTGTGTACATGCATACATAACACACACACATATATGAAAACAACCTAAAAGACACTGCCATATAACAGGAGAGACAGAGCAACTGGACATCTCTTGCCACCATAAAAAGCTTCCAGTACTAGGAATGTGCTACAACTAGTTGAGTTGTTGGCCAAAGGGATCTGTCCCATGGAATCCCCCCAAATAACCAATGCTGTCGCCAAGACTCATCAACTGATGATAAGGCCCCATTGTTGATGACCACACCTACACAACTCATTGAACATGGAGAAGCCTAGCTGGTGCCTACATAGTCTTCACCTTTACGTTCTAGCATCTTTGGTACAAAAAGGTGCTCTGCACACTCCAAAGGAGGAATGTAAATACCAACCCAGTGGTGTCCTGCCTGCAAGATATGCTAGTCAATAGTGGCACAAAGCCTGCAGACGCCACAAACCTGTATCTGATTTGACTTAAGGCCCACTCCACAAGATGAAATCCATTCCCAACACTGCTGGGTGACCAAGAACCTGAAACTAGATAGCCACAGCCAGACAATATACAGAGAGTGAAAGACCTCAGAGCACTCAGCCCTAAATGAGATGCTTCCATCCAATCCCTCCCCTTAGGGACCAGGGAGCCCTGCAGAAGAGGAGGCTGAAAGAGTGTAAGAGCCACAGGGGATGGAGGACACCAAGGAAACAAGCCCTGGAAATCAACAGGATCAATGCACATCTGAACTCACAGAGACTAAGGTAGCAGGCACAGAGCCTGCACAGGTCTGCACCAGCTGGGCTCCCAGAGCCGAAAGGAGAAATGGATACATGCACCCATCCCTGACCCGGAAGCAATCCACAATTGATAACCCCTTGCAAATGAAAATTTAGCTTTCCCCAAGGGAGTCTCGCTGGGGAAACAAACTACTCTTAAGGGTAGGCTGCATGTGCAGCAGTAGATTTTTTTTTCCACTTTTTATGTTACAGGTCTTTGTGTATATATTATGGCTTTCAGTTTTATATTTTTATGGGATTCTTGAGTGTGAGAATGAGTGTGTATCTGTGTCTGTATCTGTTTCTTGTGTCTTTTCTTGAACCCTTTTTCTTCTGTTTGTTTTGTATTATTCTGATGTGTTAGTTTTTGTCCTATCTTTTATATTACTATATTATATTATTATTTTCCCTTAGAAGCCTGTTTGTTTTCTAATGAGAGACAGAAAGGGGTGGATTTGCAAGGGAGAGGAGGTGAAGGAGCTGGGAGGAGGAGACGGAGAGGAAAGTGTAGTCAGGATATATTTTGTGAGAAGAGAATCTATTTTCAAAAAAAAGAAAAATTAAAAAAAATAAACTCATCATTGCTCTTTCTGCATTTAAGTAGTTAGGACTTAATAAGAAGACTGCATATAAAGATTTATTTCTAGGAAAAGCAAAAACTATACCAAAAATAGAAATAAGTGATTAGCACCTGTGACGCAAAGGCGACCAGCCACGATGAAGGCAGCAGTTGTCTTTAACACAACAGCGCACTTGGGGTGAAGAAGAGCGGCCTGCTCTCCCACCCTCCAGGCTGCCCTGCTAGATACAAGGAGACAGAAAAGCAACCTCACACTGCACAAGTTCTAACAGGACTTTTACAAACTTTGCTGGCACTGCAAAGTTTAAAGAATAAATTATTCTGGAGAGAAACAGGGTACTGAGAAAATTACCCTTGAAGGCATGAATTAATAAAAAATATCGTAGTGTACCAAGTGGATTTCTTGATCAGCACTTCTCATATGAAACAGCTAGAGGCAGGAACTCGGTCTCACAACCCACGAAAAGCAAAGTGGCAATTACCAAGGGCACTCAAGCTTCAGTGATCAGTGACAAGTGGTCCTTCTCAGTTTCAGGACAAAAACTGCACAAAATAGGAAAATATGTACAGAGACAGCATTCGACAAGATTAGTAAAATTATGACGGCATTCTCTAAAGGTGAAAAACCAAGGAGAGAAGTGAAAGACTGAAATCTACAGTGATGTTATCTTAAAACAGTCTTGAGCATCATGAACAGCTTCAAGGCAGGTGTAGCTGTGTGTGCTTCCTCTGCTGCATAACGTTTGTGGCTCATGCAAAGAAGCCATTATGCTTTTGAACATTCATGTCATAATCTGGTGGACAGGCTTTTATCAGATATTTTCATTTAATAAATATGCAGCCAAGAATAAACAGTACTGGGTGTACTTTAGGCATTTAAGCATTAAAATCCCCAGAGGAGTCGATAGAAGAACAGCTACCCATGATTATTAAACACCCTGTTAGCTCAGTTGGGTCACTGTGACTAAGACCACTTGATGATGCAGACTGTCTTGGCAGGGGGTCAGTGTCTGCCTCCCAGAGCCACGTGTAGCCCCAACCAGTGCTCATTTATCTGAGGATGTACCAAGCAGGCTTTCTGTGCCTGTTCTTATAAATCAGAACTATACAACCCAAGAATCTGTGAAAGAGAATAAAGATTCCCTCATGTATAAACAGAAGAAGAAACGTTTTTGAATGCGATAAGAGCAAAACTGTAAATAGTCGGAGTCAGTTAGAGATACTAATCTGGCTGACACACGCGAGCAGCTGGGCCAAAGGTACCCTAGGAATGGCAAGAAACAGAAACACAGAAAACACTCTCAGCAAAAATTGACGATGGCATAAATTTTACCTCTTAAATCTTTGGTCTAAAAAAGAGGTTTTGACATTATGGCTAGACATAATTACCACATAATGTGTAAGTTGCAATAATAATGCTCTGCGGTGAATAATTCTAAAGAAATGGTTAGCTGTCCATAGCACGTACCTTCTCCGGATTGAGCTCAAGGTGGATAAAGCATCTTGTTTGACCCACTCTGCAGGTTGTAACTCCTGCCACAAACCGGAGCTCATCTGTTAGGTTTAGCCCCTCGTTCTGGAGAATGGTGGCTGTTTGGTTAAGTGTGACTCGCCAAAAGACCTGGACATCTTCAAAGGCCCTGTGCACAAAACAAGCCCATGCAATACAGTGACAGAGTGACTCACAGAGCCTGGCAGATACGCTGACTGTCCCTCGTCCTCGACGGAGTGGCAGCACCTACTGTATGACAGACAGTGCTGAGAGTGAGGAACGCTTCCAGGGGGAAAAAAGAAAACTACGACTCATGGTCTCCATGGCATTCTCCGACTACACACTGGTTAGTAATGAACTGACATTCAGTGAGGAATGCTAAGTAAAATTCTTTCTGTCCAATGTAACAAAAATGCACTAACAAAAGGCAGAGATAATCTCTGACCTCAAGTAAATGGGTATTATTTGTTTCTTTACAATATTTTCTCTGGAGAAAGACACTACTCCTTAAAAAAAAAAAGAGCTATAATGATAACATTTAAAGGCAAACGATGTCGTACATTTTTACAGAATAGGCCGCAGTGGAAGTATTAACCCATACATATGTGCATGGACATACCAAGTCCAGACACGTACTGAACTCCCAAAGACTCACGACAAAATTCACCTGCAAGGAAAGCTCTGATACTCCCAGTGTCCCGGGAGCTCAGTGGTTACAATCAGTCATCTCAGAGTGGTTATGGTGATTGATTTGCATGGTATGCAAAACACAGTAGGCAATCCTGTTATGGTTCAAAACCCAATGTGTTAAGTAATAGCTGGAGAACGACAGTATCTCTGGGATAGTGGGGTGCTTTGGCCAGTAAAACACTGGCCATCCTAGCCTGCCAACCCAAATTTAATCCTTAAGACCCATGGGAGAAGAAAAGTAACAACTAAAAGCTGTCCTCTGACCCAACCATACCATCATAGAGGCATGACCCCCACAGCAAAAAAAAAATAATAATAAATATATTTTTAATTAAAAGGATGCATTAATACTGAAAACCTAGCTTGCAGAATAACTTCTATCAACGTTCACTCTACCTTCATCATTCTGTATGAGTCTTAAGTTCTGTGTACAATTTCAGGATGTTACATCTACATGCTCACATGCACAAGCATATGCGCACACACATACACACACACACACACACACACACACACACACACACACACACACACACACCTACCTGTTTGGCTGCCTTGTGATAACTAGGCGCTGTCTGCTCTTACCAGCTCCTTCCCTCAGTTCCAGGCCTCTTTGGGATTCCTCACTGAAGCCTATGATGCCATTGTGGAGGTCACTCCCTGGAAAGGAAAATGGAAGGCTATAAGAGACTGAGGAATTTATGAGCCCTCCAGTGCCACAGTCGTCTTGATAGCCCAGAGAATATAAATGAGAAATTAACAAGTGGGAGGTGAGAGCTATGATTTTTTAATAAGTTTTTTCTAAAAACATTCTCAAACAGGACAAAACAAGATACATTAAGACAAGGCAAAAGCCCTCAGACCGAGGCTGGACACGCGTTTTTCTAAAGCGACTCCACAGCACATTTCATAGCCACTGGCATTTTACATCCCCCAGAACACGAGCTCCATCACAGCAACAACTGTTTTTTGACAGCTCTGTCCCCGGACAAGGAGAGTGCCAGCTCATGGCAGGCACTTAGTAAGTACTGTCACGTAAATGAACTATGTAAGTAATTCACCTTCCTCTAAGAGTGTTGACAGTTGATGTCACACACTTACTTCTCTGCCCCAGAAAAAAAAAAAAGAGAATGATTAAGCAAATCCTGAGCATCTGAGTGTTAGAAGTCCAGATCATAGGAGGTTATAGGAACCACTACACACACACACACACACACACACACACACACACACACACACACACACACACACATATGCAAACTCAAAGAAGCTTAAGCAGGGTCCAACCTGGAGTCTAGAGCATGCTAACACAGTCCCTTTGTGTCCACAAGCACATGAGTGAATGTGTAAGGCAAGTATCTAAACTCCTGTACATGTTGTCTCGTTCTGAGTGTCCCAGCCTTTCAATGTGATCCCAAAAGGAATGGTCCTAAAGCAATCAGCCTCAAAAACAAACTGAGGTTGATCTCCCAGCTCTGAAATGTAAGAAAACGTGGACACCATGTGTCATGGACATCCATGTGATGGACTACTACATTTGTCCTCACTCTTCCTGTGTGCTTTTTTATCAGCAACATTTCAAATCTCCATTTCATCAATGAATCATTACAATCACGTGTTAGCCGAGCATCAGAATATTACGTTAATTATTTTCTCTCTTGTAACAATTGTTCCCTCCAAAGCATTGTTTCTCTTGTTTCTTGGTAGTTTAGTTTCCTGTCTTCTTTTGTAGGGCAATAATAACTGATGGGGTCTACTTAAAATTCTCTTGTCACATCTACAATAAATTTGAGCTACATTTTTAGCAAGGTGATTCTGGATGTCCAGTGTACCAGATAGATTTAGTACCTGGCTTATTTAAAGTGGGTTCTAACATCTAAATGTGAAAAGATTATGAAGACTGGTTGAAGATCAGAGGAATCAATAAAGTTAATGATCTAATTAAAACAGAAACATTATTAAGAGGAAAGGCCAGTTGTATGAAAGACAAGATGGAATATTCAGGCAGAATAAAAGAATAAGGGACCTTAAAATAATGCAGTCATGTGGGACATGATGGTTGATGGTATCAGCTGTGCTACGACACATGATATCAATAGACTGGAGTCTATTGCATCCTATACAAATGATGGAGAACCTGCTCAGCCGTTTGAAGGGCAAAAAGCTGATATTTGGGCAGGCTTTGGTGTGTCACATTGCCTGAGAAATGTAGAAGCAGATTTGTGCCAAATAACATCCTGATCACCAAAGAGCACTCACTCTGTCAACAACCTAACCAGGACTCAAGTCCTCTCCATTACTCAGTAACTAATGGAGCACTGTTTGGAACAGTGAGGAACCTCCAGGAACTGTTTTTATTTCCACATTAATTGATAGATATTTTGGCTGTCAGCTGTGATCATATCTGAATGGCTGTAATAAAATATTTAAGCCATAGAAAGTGAGGGCAATGCTTAATTCCAAATTAATTTTAGTAGAAATATACGAATTACATTAAGCCAATGTAACAAGCTTGCATAAATGAATTAAAATTTACAATGTTCCAAATAAACTGTTGGATTAGGAATGGTATTAATTATAATTAGTGAAAATTTGTAGGGTAACATAAGCAGGAGAAACACTATAAAGGAAGTTACTATGACACACTATGGGTGATTAAAATAGCATAAATATGAGGAAGCATCGTGCTCTAATGGTGAGTCCTGAGATCTAGTGCACAGCGTGTGAGTAGTTAATACCATGGTATTGTACACTTTGAGATTGCTAAGAACAAACCTCAGATGTTCTCACCACAGAAACATTAAGTATTTGAGATGATATGTAAGTTAGTTAGCTTGATTTAATTATCTGACTACTTATTCATAAATCACATCCCATGATATGAAAATAGATAACATATAGTCAAAATAAAACACAATCATGAAATGGCCTTATTACTACTTTAGTTAGTTATTGACAATCTGATCTACTTTATCTAATGAAATATATATCCAGAAGTAAACTACAAGTTACCACCAAATCTAGATGTGTAAGGATCCCCTAAAATAACTAAAAATGAAGCTATTGTTTCACATGTGTGTATATGTGCAAATATGATATACACACATATGTCATATGTGAGAGTGGGAGAGAGAAGCTGCAATACAATGACTGTTCATTTGCTCTGGATCAAAAGCAGTAGAAAAATTTAAACTATTGTAACATAAATGTACAGGACTCTGTGTTTATATGTGTGTATATACATATGCATACACATGTACATCATTCATACATGCACACATATTTACGTGTGTGTATCCAACTAGTACAATGATTATATAAATTGTGTTGTGTCAAAAACAATAAAAGATACACTTTTGGTTTAATTCATAACACATACAGGAAATTTCTTGATAATGACATCTTGCTTGAGGACTGATTACTGAAAGTGGTTCAAAATTTAAAATAAGGTTCCAAAACAATATAAACAATCCTATGTTTGAAAATCAAAAACAGCATTTTTCTAGAAAAATAATGTGGATTTAAGGACTGTTCTCTATTATGTGAAACTACAGATTTACAGACCATGTACCTGACTCTTTTCTATGTAACATCTATAATACATTAAATTGTAGTCTAACCTAAAAACAACATGAACTCATGTTATGGCTCATTACTTTAGGAAGACAATTGGTTGTTGTTGCTGCTATTGTTATTTAGACAGGTCTCACGATATTTCTCTGGCTGACCTGGAACTCACTGTATAGACCAGGCTGGTCTTGAACTTAGACAGATCTGCCTGCCTCTGCCACCTGAGTGCTGGGATTAAAGGTGTGTGCCACCATGCCCATCCTAAAGGAAGACCATTTTTAATGAACTATTATGAGTGAGTCAAGTGACTGTCTTAGGTTGAAGTTCAGACATTGTTGAAAACACTGCGTTGTAAGTGCATACATCATCTCCGTCCTGCTCTGTCATTACCTGTGATAATGACGACAGCGAAGGCTGAACATCCTGTGCTGTCCTTTCCTCTCACAATCTGCGCTCCCCCTTGAGGGTCTGTGAGGAACACATAGAAGAACTCCTGCCCCTCAGGCTCGTCGTCATCCAGAATCTGAACCGATATTTTCCGTTCTCTTTCCCCATCTAGAAGTGTAAGGGTGAGCTCCTGTTCTTCAAAGTCTTCTTCTTCGACTGCCCACGTTAGGTTGGCAACTCCATAGGCATCCTGAAAGGGCCATACACTTGGTTCCTTCTGAACACATCTTCCACCAAACGTCTTCGCTGTTACGCTGACATTGCCTGTGAACCCACCAGTCCTCTGGATAAGGATTTCTGCGGTGCTTAATGTGCTGTTCGTCATTTCCTCTGCCACATAAACAGTGGGAGGTCCAAGGCTGAGTATTCCATAGACCGCAGCATGAGCAGTTTCTGGAGCCAAGTCAGGCTTCTCAGACACAGCACCGTGAGTGGTGACAGGCTTCTCGGGGGTAGCAGGCTTTTCGGGGGTGACAGGCTTCTCAGGGGTGACAGGCTTCTCGGGGGTGACAGGCTTTTCGGGGGTGACAAGATTCTCAGGGGTGGCAGGCTTCTCGGGGGTGGCAGGCTTCTCAGGGGTAGCAGGCTTCTCGGAGGTGACAGGCACACCTGTTGCCTCTGTAACAGCGGCAAACATCTCAGTGCTGTATGGAATGGCAGTGACCCTGCTTGTGTTAGGGCGTGTGGTGGAACCAGTTTCTACAGCAGGGAGAGTGCTGTCAAGTGTCACCATCACTGCTGTTGTGGGGACACCCACTCCAGCTAGGTCATCATTGTCCACTATGGTGACCACTACAACACTGTAATCTGGATTTAGACGAGGTCTCCAATTCACATCGCCCTTTCTCGGCCCCCTACTTTCTACTGAAGTAAGATTAATATAAAAAGTTTCTTCTCTCTCAGGAAGCTGATCATTAATAATGGTTATTTCAAAATCAGCCTCGGCTTGGAATCTCTGAAAAGAAAGTTCACCATTCTGAGCAGGCTCAAAGTCTTCCCCAGGCTTGGCGCTTCCCGAGGTCGTCTTGTAGGAGACTGTAATCAGATCACCATTAAACCCGAACAGTCTTTGCACATGTATTCGGATGGTCTGTGCATCCTCCGACACTGTGATATTTCTTGAACTAGGGGAAAACTGGAAGACTCCCATGGGTTCAATTTCAGCAGTAGTGAAACCTGGTCTGGAAAAGAAATTGAACCGTAAGGACTGGTTTTAGCACAGGAATACCACTATGGAGTTCTTCAATACTTGAAATGCTGCTCATTTCTAAGAATCATTCTAGAAACACTATGTTCCTTCAAACTCCAGAAGACCTTCTTTACACACTGGGAAGTAAAAGCTCAAGAGAGGCAGAGGCAGAGGCTGCAGCAACAGAGACAGGACCAAGCAGCTTAGGGAAGGTGCACATCTGAGCTCCGATGTCCGTCACACAGGGATAATTGGACATATAATGCTAAGCACACCATTGGTACTGGAGGTAGCAGAGCAGGGCAGGCTTACAGAAATAGGGTGAGCACTGTAAACTTATTTGTCATTGATGTTGTTAAAGACCTTTAAATTTGTCACCTGAAATATTTTCTTTGAACAAATATTATTTTAAATGGGATATGTATAATCAAACCACACTAAGCTCTACAGATAACCATTCCCCATCCACAAACATGTACGTAGACATTCTTGAACCGACACTAGTCCATTGCATAGTCCCTGTCTGTTATTATGGCAAAGCCCATCCCAAATAAGAGAAAAGCCAACTGTGTTTAGCTATCTGAAAATATACTGGGTTCCATATAAACAGTTATTACAGATAAATAACAATGTAAATACAATTATACAGAAAGGAGCCACTGATTTCAACCAATAACGCCATTAGTTAACTGTGATTCTTTATGCATATTCTTTTGTTTGTTTGTTTGTTTGTTTTTTGATACAGGGTTTCTCTGTGTAGTTTTGGTACCTGTCCTGGATCTCAGATCTCACTCTGTAGACCAGGCTGGCCTGGAACTCACAAAGATCCACCTGGCTTTGCCTCCTGAGTGCTGGGATTAAAGGCATGCACCGCCACCACCCAGCCTCCTTTCTGCACATTCTTAAAGGTGTGGGGAAATAGGAGTTCACAGCTCCTCCGCAGAGGACTTTGAAAACTGGAGACTGTGTCATTAGTGAAGCTGCAAGCCCAGCATCTGCTCTGAGGCTGGAGGGCAAGGCAGAGAGCTCACTGCAAGGCAGAGAAGGTGGGGCCCCTATTGAAAGCACTCTCCTCTGTCTGGGGCTGCAAGCCACGCCTTGCTCCACACCAGAACTGCATTTGCCTCTGAATCAAGGCAGCAGCGAAGCCCATGGTGTCTTGTTCAGGTCGGACTGAAACACTGCACATGACTCTTAGATGGCGAAGCTATCCTGGCCGTACCGAAGCTGGGCTCCACCAGCGCCACTGCTCCTCAGGCCCGACAGATGAAGGACAAAAGCCTCGGGCTGACCAGGGCTGGGAAACGTCCGTAGCGCCATCCCCTTCCTCCGTTCTCCGTGCAAAAAAGAAAGACTCCCTGGAAGAAGAATGATGGGGAAAGTCACTTATCACTTCTCTCTTCGGTCTCTTAAATTCTATTCCATGTGCATGGGTGTTTCACAGCATGTAGGTCTGTACACCATGTGTGTGCAGTGCCTACGGAGGCCAGGGGAGGACATAGGATCCCCCGGGACCAGAGTCACAGATAGTTCTGAGTGATCTTGTGGGTGCTGGGAATGGAACCCAGGTCCTCTGGAAAAGCAGCCAGTACTCTTAACCACTGAGCCATCTGCCCTGAACACTTGTGTTTCTTAAACTGGATTTTGATGCTAACACACATTTGATGCCGAAGTGATCTCTTTTCCAAAATTTGACTTGGTTCCAAAAAGATAATGTTTAATAGAGGGAACAAGAAATAAATACGTTTATAGAAATCTCCTGAGACCACACAGCCGTTTCTCACTCCCTGCTTCCTCCCCCCTTCCCTTCCTTCCTCCCCCTTCCCCGCTCTCTCCCTTCCTCTCCCCTTCCCTTCCCTCCCTCCCCCTTCCCCTCTTCACTTCCTCCCCCCACTTCCTTCCTTCCCTCTCTCTTCTCCTCACTCTTTCACTCCAATTACCAAATCCAGTATCAAAAAGAGAATGGCCATAATGAGGTTAGGCAAGCTTTCCTGTAAGTTTGGTGTTGAGCTGTGGTAAAATTCTGGCCATAACACTTTTTAAGAGGAATTTGAGGTAAAATATCACAATATGTGTATTTTACTTTAGATTACTTCAGAAGAAAATGTCATGAGTAAGAAAGATTACAAGTGTTAAGTTTAGTCCATGAGTTTAGGAATCATGTTTATTATTCACTATATTTAAATGTTATTATAAAAGCTCAAAAGAGTAATCTACTTTATTTGAAGATACATACTGTCTGTGAGTTCCTTGTTTGTGTAATAAAGTTATTCACTAAACAATTTAAAAAATTCACATGCAAGCAAAGTCACATACAAACATATACATAAAGAACAAGATTCCTACATAGACTGTAAGAGCTTAATTGTACAGAGGCAGACATATCACCACACGTGACAGAAAGGATAGAAGAATAACAATAAGTAGGTGTGGAACAGGGGAGCTAGAATGCAGGTAAGAAAGACAATAAAAGATCTTTAACTTAGGGATGAGCAAGAAGAAAATAAGGATCTCATTGGCTGACACATTAGATCTGGGTTCCTGTGGGATGGATGTGAAACACGCTGCCCAAGGCAGCTCTGGTGCCATGGCATCACCCAGCGAAGCAGTAAACCAAATTACTCTACCCTGACTGATACTTCCGCTGCCATGGCGGTTGAGGGAGCCTTGCAGTCATGTTTGGTGTCTCTATTTTATTCTCATCTTCTAAAGGGCTTCAGTGGTCATTCAGTTTCTTGGATAAGGGAAACTTAGGGGAAATAATCATTCCATCTGAGGGACTGTGGGTCTCAGCTCTTATATCGGAGTCTTGAGATTTATGATTCACAGTAACATTTGCCTGGTGAGCAGGGAAACACTGCAAATAAGGGGGCGGGTAGAAAACTCTGAGAGAGAGATGAGTTGCTCACAACTGCCACCAGGGAAACTGCAGTGTGCTCTGTGCACCACAGTTGAGGTCACACCATCCAACATCCACACCTTACTGGTCCTCAGAGAGCTGCTGACATCAATTTAAAAATCAAGTATGTGAAGTGACACCTGCCCGTCTGTTAGGAATGCTGGAGGACATGTAATAAAGACAAAGCTGTGTCTTTTTGTTGCTCTATCAGCTGGACAGGATACTGAAAATGACTTCTAACAAATAAATCTCTAAGAGTTGACAGAGCAGTGTGCTTGGTTGTCATCGTTTCTGCATGGCGTATGAAGACTTCAATTTCATTGGAAAGTTCCTCTCCTCCTCACCAAGGAGCCCGTATCACCAGAGTTATGCAGAGGAGCACTGCCCTCAGCTGGGAGCACCTCATTAGGACTCACATAGCTCAGCATCCATAGGAGGCATGACCCCGGACCGCCATGGGTGGCACAGCTCCATGTTCTACAGACTGGACTAGAAGAGTCACAACTCACCCAGTGATGGCGTCATGTTGCCAATGACAACAGGCTCAGGGATGTCGGACCCAGGAGCATACCCTGTGGTCCAGGCCACAGACAGCCCGCCGTATGTGCCTCTCCTGGAGACCAGGACCTGGCTGGTGCCTACTGTGATGTCCGTGAGTTGGAAAGCAGTGGATTCAAATCCAACCTAAAGAAAGAAAGATATGCTTAGAGGACTCAACTCCTGTCTAAACTTTCCTGGTCTCTGAAAAATGGGTTAAACATTAATTCCTCTCCGGATTATACAATTTAGTCCCCCATATGATAACCTATTCAGAAGAGAAATACTTAAGAAAAATCTGATTTGAAATTTCATATTGCCACTCCTTCAGATTTCTTTTTTAAAAGACATAATTATTTGAATTATAAAGTATTTAAAAAGATAAATGTAGATGTAATCAACCGTCTTTTTAAATAAGAAACACAGAACCAATGCAAAGAAGAAAGCCAAGAGGTCAGAGCTAAGAGCTAAAACCTGACCCTTCCTCCTGCGGTGGTCCTACCTCTCCGAACCAGAGCTACTTTCTGTGTTAAAGTCCTTATATAGAATTTCTGTTCTGCCTTCTCATTGGTTGCAAACCCAACCACATGACCGCCTCATCACGGCCTGTCTGTATAGACCTCCAGGTCTTCTATGGTTGGTATTGAGATTAAAAGCATGTGTATCCAATACTGGCTGTATCCCTAAACACACAGAGACTTACCTAGCTCTGCCTACCAAGTGCTGGGATTACAAGCGTATGCCACCACGGCCCTGCTTTCCTATGGCTTGCTAATAGCTCTGACTCCTGGGCAACTTTATTTATTAACATACAAATAACATTTTAATACAAATAAAATATCACCATAGATAAATGTAATAATAATTAAGTGAAAGCAGAGCAAAAGAGTGTAAGTTACATGGCTTTAAAAGTCTGTCGTGGCTGTGTGTCTCTCATTTATTCATTAATATTACTTATTTATTTATCCTTCAGACAGGGTAACTCACTAGATTGCTGAGGGTTCACCATGACCTCCCAATCCTCCTGCCTCAGCCTGCAGAGTGCTGGGGTAAGACATGAACCACCACGACCAATTCTTAGAGAGACTTTAGTGTGACCTGTTCATTGGAGTTTGGAACCCAATCTGTCTAGAACTGAAATTGGCGGCTCGTAGATTTAACACATTTCCTTCCTTCTTCATCAAAGTAAAACCCTATATTAAGGCCTCCAGCTCTTTCGTTCAGCTTGACTTTTTTTTTTTTTTGGCTTCCTAGCTTCCAGGGAAAGTTTGTTGTTTGTTCTGTTGGACTACGCTCCACACAATCATCAAATGAGAATTCATGCTAACGGTAACTCTTCCAGGGAATGGGATTTGTAGCTGAAATCCGTTCTAATCAGTGGTTTAGAAGCAATTACACTGATCCCTAGTCTTGTACCCTCATCTGAACGAACAGCTCAGGTTATATCTCTTGGCCTAAACAATGGAAATCTAGTTACCACTGAACCAGCAATTGTAGATTAAGACATCTCTCCCCTTCTAAAGCTCTGATGAGGCACATCTGAAAACATGGGTTTTCTGAGGGACACTTCTGGAGCTCTGGAAGGCCAAAGAGCAACAGCAACTTCAAGATGTTGCTGGTTACCACAGCCCTGGGGCTGGAACTCACTGTGTAGACCTGGTTGGTCACACAGAGATCGCCTGCCTCTGCCTCCTGGGATTAAAGGTGTGTGCCACCATGGATGGTCTATTTTGCTTGTTTTTAACGTTTGTGGACCCCATTTTAGGGACAGAACAAATTCATTCCCTGTGAAGGAGGTGTGCAGGAGGGAGCTGCTGAAGAGCATCCACTAATGGCCTGAAATCATCCATGCCTGTCCAGTAATCTGCCGCATGCTACATCCCTGCTAGGCCAGGCTTACACTCTCCACTGGGACCCTGAGGAAGCAGTGAGGCAGGGTATGTCTCAGTTCAGCTTGGCAAACACATGCTGTAGCCAACAGCACTTTTTTTTTTTCTTTTCTGGAAAGGACCTATAAGGAAAGGGGTTTAGTTGTCTTGTTTTGTTTTTGTGAGCCTGTGAGGTGACTGGAAATAATTTTTTTCCACAAAGGCCTTAGATGGCTCACCCGTCTTAGACCCGGGTTAGACCACTCACTGACAGTGATGGACATCAGCACAAACTCTGGGCAACCAAAGCCCAGGTATTAATGATAAACATGAACACTGTTAGAAAATGAAAATGTCTACAGGGCTTCATTCCAATTTTAATTACTCAGAATTAAACACCTCAGTATTAAAGATTTGACATTAACACAGAAATTTTGGCTTTAGGTGACTAGTCCTTTAAAAAGGACCTTATATTCTAGGCCAGCTGTACAAGATGAAATCTTTCAACAATGCTGAAAAGGCAAAAAATTTTCTAACAAATATTTAAAGTGGACAAATTATTTTTATATAATGGATCCTTTGATATTTACGGGGCTATTTTAAATTTGAGAAAGTGGTTAATCTTAAAAACAAAAACAAACAAACACACTGCCCGCTCCAAAGCCTCTTTTGTCCGTGTTTTCCCTGGTATGCCAACCACGCTCCAGGGGATAGTCTCACCCCAAGAACACACGGGCCACACAAATTGAATTTGGTGGGTTTTTAAATTTTAAAAACGGGGACAAGAAATTGAATGAGTGGGGAGGTGAAGCATAAATCTTGGAGGCATTATGGGGAAGGAGAAGAGGATGAGCATGATCAAAATTCACTGCATTTAATTCGCAAAGAATGAAAAAACACAACACATTTAAAAAATAATAATTCTTGAAGACCTTAGTGCTTCCTGTTCGCGCTGCCCTCTTGTGGTTGGCTGAGAGAACTACACCCAGAGCCGCTTACCTGGGAATTGGCAGCTTCCTCGGGAACAGGAAGACGGACTGATTTTGCTTCCTGGAGAATTGTTGGTGTTCCATAGAAAGGTCCACTCAGAAGCATCACAGACACCAGCTGCAGGGTGAAATTGGAGCCCAGCGACAGGAAGACCTGTGAACAGTTAAGTCATCTTCAGAGTAAAGTAGAGGCCCGTGGCCTGGGTCACAGCACCGTTTATGTTCCTTGAGTAGAAGGCGGTTTCATCAGCACAGGCCTTCCCCGGGGTCTACAAAGAAGCCACCAGATTTTAGAGGGTGGGGTGTGCAGCTGTAGCTATAGAGAATAAACAGACAAACTTACAGCTGTGCCATATTCGTTCAAATGGCCTAAGGAATGCCGAGGTCCCCAGAAGGAGTGTGCACAGAGCCAAGGAGATGGAAACCACACAGTGGAGTGCAGACGGCTAGCCCAGGGAGCCCCACTTCTGCCCCTCTTCACTGAGCTAATGATGCCAATGATAGCACTCAGCATGGACGGGGACATGGAAGCCTTTGTTACTTCAACACTTTGGGCAAATAAAAATCATTAGCGCATGTGCTAGATCACCAATGTCAAAAGCTTAGCAACTAGCAAGCTGGGAGATCCTGAACTTACAAATTGCTGTCACACTAGAATTATCCGAAACCTGCAGTGTATCTTCTTCTCATGGAAATGCGGCTACTGAGGATGGCGCAGCCCTAACACAGTTCCAAACCAGGAACATTCCTAAAACAGTTGCATCTTTGGGAAGTCAAACCGTCATGCCTGTGGAGCATCTCCTTTTACTACTTCAACATGATCTTAAACACACAAAACACACGCACCGTCGTCCCAAACGTGCAGCATGAGTGAAGCACAGACCTCATTCTCTCAAGATTACATTCTCTAAGCAGAACTCTTAGGTCAGCGGTGAGCAAGCAAGCCATAACAGTGTAAGTCCTATCAACTGCATTTCTATGGTGATATACTGTGTGTCCTAATAAACTTGTCTGAAGATCAGAGAACAGAACAAGCCACTAGACTAAACATAGAGGCCAGGCAGTGGTGGCACACACCTTTAATCCTAGCACTCAAAGGGAGGCAGAGATCCACCTGGATCTCTATGAGTTCTAATCCACCCTGAACTACATGAGATTGACTCAGTCTAGGAGAGAAACTGAGCCAGGCAGTGGTGGCACACGCCTTTAATCCCAGCACTTGAGATCTCATGCCTTTGCTTGGGAAGTCACGCGCCTTTAATCCTAGCACTAAAAAGGAAGTGATATGGTGGGTGGAGAAAGGTACATAAGGCATGAGGGGACAGGAACTAAAGCCTTTGTGGCTGAGGAACTCCTTTCGGCTGAAGCCCTTTCAGCTGGAGCTCATTCAGGCTGAGGAGCTGGTGAGGTAAGAGGTGGTGGCTGTGGTTTGCTCTGCTTCTCTGATCTTTTAGCATTCACCCGAATATCAGGCTCTGGAGTAACTATTAAAAGACCGTTTAACAATTCGTGTTACCCAGATGTCCCATCCCCATGCACGTCAACTAATGTCTGGGCAGCTAATGATGTTTTTCTTCCAGTTTCATAAAGAATAAGGATCAAGTACTGTTCTGAAGTTCCAAGTCATTTATTCGGCCCTTCCTGCCTAGGCCCTCTGCTGATGGCCTATTCAGTACACACAGGCCCCAGGGGCCAACTGACAGTAAGGTTGAACATGAATCATGTCAGGGTCACACACGTGAGAATATATCTATATCTATACACATATAACATATTTGATGAATATTATGAATAAATAAAAATAATTTAAGAGCATAATGGAGAGATGCCTCAGGTTAAGAGCATTGGCTTCCCATCTGAAGGATCTAGGTTCAATTCCCAGCACCCACATGGCCGCTCAAAACTGTCTATGAGTCCAGTTCCAGGGAATCTGATGCCCTCTTCTGGCCTTTGGGCACCAGAACACATGTTGCTCACAGACAGACCTGCAGGTAAAACACTCATACACTAAAAATAAATAAACAAACATTTCAAGACCAAATAATTGATGATCCTATCATATCCATGTGCACGTGACAATGCTTGACCACGTGTTGGTAATTAACTGTTGCTGGACGTCTTAGTTAAGGTTTGTATTCCTAAGACAAACACCATGACCAAAAGCAACTTGGGGAGGAAAGGGCTTATTTCCGCTTACAACTCGTGGGTCACACCCCATCAGTGAAGGAAGTCAGGGCAGGAACTCCAGGCAGGGACCTGGAGGCAGGAACTGAAGCAGAGGCCATGCAGGACCCTGTTTACTGGCTTGCTCCTTATGGCTTGTTCAGCCTGATTTCTTTTTTTTTTTTTTTTTTTTTTTTTTTTTTTTTTTTTTTTTGGTTTTTCGAGACAGGGTTTCTCTGTGTAGCTTTGCGCCTTTTCCTGGAACTCACTTGGTAGCCCAGGCTGGCCTCGAACTCACAGAGATCCGCCTGGCTCTGCCTCCCGAGTGCTGGGATTAAAGGCGTGCGCCACCACCGCCCGGCAGTTTTTTTTTTTTTTTTTTTTTTTTTTTTTTGCAGCCTGATTTCTTATACAATAGTCCAGGGATGGAACTGCCCACACTGAGTTGGGCTCTCCTGTTTGAATCATTAATCAAGAAAATGCCAAACAGACTTGCTTACAGGCTAATTATTTTTTATTAATTAATTAATTTTCCCAGCCCAATCACAGTTTCTCCTCCCTCCCTCCTCTCCTCCCAGTCCCTCCCCCCAACCTCTCCTCTCCTTCTCCCCCATCCATTCCTTTTCCTTTCTCCCATGCATGTCAGCCAGCCATGACCCATCAAGTTGCAGTAAGTCTAGGTACCCCCTCTCCTATTAAGGCTGGACAAGGCAATCCAGTAGGAGGAAAGGGTCTCAAAAGCAGGTAAGGGTCAGAGACAACCCCTGCTCCCCAGGCTAGGAGCCCCACAAGACCAAGCTACACAGCTGTAACATGTGCAGAGGGCCTAGTTCTCTGGCTGGTGGTTCAGTCCCTGTGAGCCCATCTTAGTTGGTTCTGTGGGTTTGTGACGTCTTTGACCCCTCTGGCTCCTACAATCTTTTCTCCACCTCTTCTGCAGGATTCCCTGAGTGCTCCCTAATGTTTGGCTGTGGGTCTCTGCATCTGTTCCCATCAGTTGCTGGATAAAGCCTCTCTGATGACAGTCGGGCTAGGCGCCAATCTATGAGATTATCAGAATATCATTAGGAATTATCTCATTCATGCTTTTTTTCCTTTTTGCCAGTCCTGTTTGGCTCTATCCTAGGTCTCTGGACTGTCCATCCTCTGGGTCCTGGCCTTCCAGGCAGTGTCAGGAGCGGGCTGCCTCCTACAGCATGGGTCTCAGGCTGGACCAGTCATTGGTTGGCCACTCCCCTAATTCCTGTGCCACCTTTGTCCCAGCATATATTGTAGGCAGGGCTAAATGTAGGTCAGAGGTTATGTGGCTGCGTTGGGGTCCCAAGCCCTCCTCTGAAAGTCTTGCCTAGTTACAGGAAATGGCCAGTTCAGGCTACATATCTCCTAGGGCTAGGAGCCTGTAGGGGAATCTTATGGAGGAATATTTCTCAATTGAAAGTCCCTCTTCCCAATCGACTCTATCTTGTGTCAGCTAAAAAAACCAAACAAACAAACAACCAGGGCAGTGGGACTTCTTTTGCACAGACGGAAGCACATAGCAGTAGGGATAAAGTCCCTCATCTCTGTCATTGCGGAGCTTCTTACAGTAACTGGTGTGGCCTTAGTGCTTCACAGCTGGTCAAGCAGAAGGGTGAAACTGCTTCTGCATTCTGACCTGCACTCTTCTACCACCAGACTAACTCCTTCAGTGTGACCACGGCTCTCAGTGTCCGTCTGCGCCCACGAAGGAACGCGGTTGCAGCAACATCCTACAATCCAATCCAACGTCCTGGAGTTAGACCAACATCAAGGATGCTTTTAGCTTTCAGAAGCTGATGGAATCTTTCCTTGTTCTTAGATGCTCTTAAAGATCAGAAGCCACCGCACAAATGGTTCAACATTTGCGCTTCTTCGACCAAAGCCCTCCCTTCCACCCAGCGATGGAGAGCAGAGAGAAGTCCGTGAGAACTCTTTCTTACACCTAAAGCCTCAAATTTTAAGGACAAGTGAATTATGTGCATTGCAGGTGATATGGAAGAAGATGACCATCGGGAAAAGTCCTGTGTTAGGTTCACATGCCTGTAAACCTTTGCTCCAAACACTTCCTTGGAAGATCAACCCCTGAGTGCTGCCAGTCTATGCATGGTCTAGTATCCTCCACGGAAGTATGGACAGCCTATCAGTGTGCATAACTGTGAAGAAAACTGACCCTTCCTTTCCAGTAACCAGCAATTGTCAATAGCTCCTTAGCTAGTGGTGGGGCTTTAGACACCTTTCCCTATCTGCATTGGGATTTTGACTGGCTAGATCATGTGTAAGATTTGTGATGTATATAATCACATTGCTGTGAGTTTGTGTGTGCAATGGCTCTATCATATCAAGAAAACAGTTTCACAGCAGTCCTCCACTACCTCTGGCTCTCACAATCATTTCAAACATCTTCCTCAATGATCCCTGGGCCCTTGGTCCAGGGTGATGTGGAGAGATGTGTTGTTTACGGGTTTCCTCTGAGACTGAAATATTCCCTCCTGCAGGGAAGCTCCTTAAGAAGGAAGATAAACAATAAGACCACATGAGAACAGGAAGAAGCAAAGTGCTAGAGAGGCCCACAGAAATCCACAAAGATACCCACACAACAGACTGCCAGCAATGGTCGAGAGACAGCCCCAACTGACCTACTCTGGTGATAGGATGGCCAAACCCCCTAATTGTCGTGCTAGAAACCACATCCAATGACTGAGGGAACTGGATGCAGAGATCCATGGCCAGGCCCCAGGTGGAGCTCTAGGAGTCCAGTTGGTGAGAAAGAGGAGGATTTGCATGAGTGAGAATTGTTGAGACCAAGATTGGAAAAAGCACAGGGACAAATAGCCAAATGAATGGAAACACATGAACTATGAACCAATAGCTGAGGGGTCACCAACTGGATTAGGCCCTCTGAATGTGTGAGACAGTTGATTGGCTTGATCTGTTTGGGAGGCATCCAGGCAGTGGGACCAGGTCCTGTGCTCATTGCATAAGTCGGCTGTTTGGAACCTGGGGCTTATGCAGGGACACTTGGCTCAGCCTGGGAGGATGGGACTGGACCTGCCTGGACTGAGTCTACCAGGTTGATCTCAGTCCTCGGGGGAGTCTTTGCCCTGGAGGAGATGGGAATGGGGGGTGGGCTGGGGGAAGGGGAGGGGGGTGGGAGGGGGGGAGAACAAGGGAATCGGTGGCTGATATGTAAAATTAAATTATTAAGAAAAAATAGCCCTAGGAAGTCCCTGACACTGACCAGCTTCTTTGGGCCCCGTCTTCCCAAGAGTACACCAGCCAAGCTGCAGAGAAAACTCTGAGACTAGTACAACAGCTGCCTGGAAGAAGCAGAACCAGCTGAGCTTCCTGGAAGAGGTTTCGGTCAACTGAGCCACTTAGAAAGGACCCTCGGAAACCACCGGAGCTGCCTGCAGGCTGAGCAGTGTGCTCCAGGTTCCCAGCTTTGGCCATGCAGCTGTCTCTGAGTCATTTCTACTCCTGTAAATATCCCCTCACCTGCTAAGTTAACATGGGTCTCATTTTCCCACGTTCTTTTATGTCTTCTAGTCCTGATATTTTTTTAGGCACAGGATATAGAATTTAAAAATTGACAAATCAGAGCCATACATGAATCAGTTTCCCACAAATCTTCAAAAATGCAGGAACAACTGCGAAGCCAATGTCTAACCAAAAGTCTCAGTTTTCCCCATTCATTAAAACACCAGCAAAAAATAAAGAGCTAAGTTTGGAAAAGATTAAAAGGTTGCATGGTGTGGTGGTTTGAAAGAAATGGTCTCTATGCGCCCGTAGGAAGGGACGCTATCAGGAGGCATGGCTTTGTTGGGGGAGGCCAGGCCTTGTTGGAGGAATTACGTCACTGGAGTGTAGGCTTTGAGTTCTCAGATGCTCGAACCAGGCCTAGAGTGTCTCCCTTTCTCTTCCTGATGCCAGCTGATCTGGATGTAGAACTCTCAGCTCCTTCTCCAACAGCATGTCTGACTTGACGCCACCATGCTTCCTGCCATGACAATGGACTAAACCTCTGAAATTGTAAGCTAGCCTCGATTAAATGTTTTCCTTTATAGGAGTTGCTGTGGTCACAGTGTCTCTTCACAGTAATAGAAACCCTTACTAAGACATGCGGTAAGTACAAATTCTTTTTTTTTTTTTTTTTTTTTTTGGTTTTTCGAGACAGGGTTTCTCTGTGTAGCTTTGCGCCTTTCCTGGAACTCACTTGGTAGTCCAGGCTGGCCTCGAACTCACAGAAATCCGCCTGGCTCTGCCTCCCGAGTGCTGGGATTAAAGGTGTGCGCCACCACCGCCCGGCGTACAAATTCTTTTAATAGGCATGCTGTTTATCATGTAAAGGGGTGTAACTGTCATGGATCACAAATTTATATGCAACTTGGAAGACATGAATGGAAAATTACTGTGTTTCCCCACTAGTGTCTCACGGGCTTCCTTCTATCATCTTTCGGCATCATTGTAAGGAACTCTGAAAGCTGTTGTTTTCAGGAATATAGAAGACTGGGTGTGCATTAGTTAAAATGTAGCTTCATGCTCATTAAAGCTTTCCCATTTACCACAGTGCTGGGTTGACTCATGGCATAGATCTACAATGGAAGACATGTCATGTTATCTACAATTCTTCAATTCTTCTCCAACCTCCTCAAAACTGGGCATGTCCACCCACCTTCTGGCCACTTCTAGCCATTTCTTGAAGAACCTTCAACAAAGTGGCAAGTCTCGCCTCTCTGTTCTAGTCCTTTAGCTAACATGGGCAGACCAGCATGATCAAATGAAAGCATCACTCTGGTGCTCAGGCTGTCTCTGAACTACTTGGGTTCTCCCAACGGCTTCACCATTCTTGCACTGAGACAATGCCCTAAGGCAGTTTATTACCTTTAAATATTGAAATAAGCATGTCAATGGATCAGGAGGTACACAAGGGCTCTCCCAAGGGAGTTCTGCTAGAACTTTCAGGAATTTGAAGAAGTGCTACAAACCTGATTCTTCAAAGGCACCAAGTCTACTTTATATCTGGCGCCATCTTTGATCACCAGCTGTCTCTCTTCATTTTCAGAAGCAATGGGGTCTTCTTTATTATCAGACAGTATTCGAAATCTAACAGTCACATCACCGAACATTCCAGCAAGGCGGGTGACATTAATTTGGATGGACCTAATGAGGTTCTGCCCAATCAGTACCGACTGATGATCTGAATACAGGGCAAATACACCATGTGGGTCGTCATTTGCAGACACAGAGAACCAGGCGGTGCATTTTTCCAGGTCCAGTTCTGCACCTCCCTCTACAGAAACAAGCCGGACAGCATATTCTTCCTGTATCTCAGGTATATCATCTGGCAGCAAATGGACATCGAAGCTTGCTTCACTCTCTCCATCAGCAATGAGAAAAAGTCCACTGGTGAAAAGAAAGTCTCCAGTGAGATCAAACTCACTGCTGAGCTCCCAGTGCACCTGGGATGAAAAGAAGAAAATCAGCAGTTCCATAACTCGGCATGTGGAACAAGAAACCTCCCAATTATGTTTCCTCTGTGTCATGCAAAATGGAAATGGAAATTATATGTTGCTACATTTAGATAAACTTGGAAGTATATACTAGTTTGGAAAGTACATTAACTCCTTTCATATAGAATATGAAGGACAGGGTGTGTTTTAATCTTATTATTGACTTGCTTTTAAAATAAGAGTATGATTTGAAAAGAAGCAGGCAAACTCTAATGTGCCAGCCAGTTCCACACATACATCAGTGTGTGGACCATACACAATATTTCAAGGCCAACAATAAGTACATGATATATCCTAAATCACTTCTGGACATAACATCTGGAGACCTGCAGACCATACTGTAGAGATTCTTGCACATCCACATTTTTATTTGTGGATGTTTTTATTTGCATGCAAGTTTAACAGTAAAGTTTCTAAAAGTTGCTGCCTCGTTCACTATAGCAAAGAATTGGAATCAACCTAGTTGTCTATTAACAGATGACTGGATAATGAAATTCTGGGGTGTGTGTGTGTGTGTGTGTGTGTGTGTGTGTGTGTGTGTGTGTGTGTGTATAAAGAAAATGAAGTTAAAATTTTGCAGGAAAATTGGTGAACTTAGAATGTACAATATCAAGAGAAACCACATAAGCTCAAGAAGGGAAAAAAACACAAGGTTTCTTTCATATGTGGAATCTAGCCAATAATATATGCATATATGCAAACCAAAGTACATGGGGCTACAGTATAACATGAAAGAAAAAACAAGAAATGCTAATTATTGGGGGATGAGGAAGGACTGAATATGGTCATGGTCACTAATTATAAAAAAAAAGATAAAGAGCGAATTGTTCCTCCAGTTCTAATTCTGTCACAGATTTTTGTTGTTGTTTATTTTGGTGACAGTAAGTGCACAAAATATAGTTGAAACTGAAAGTATAATATTTAGTGTGATGCTCCAAAGCTTCCATTTTTAACGCCTGTTTTAACTGTTAATTGAATCAAACAGACTTTGGGTCAAGTTAATTTTGGCATGGTTTTTACTTGAATGCAAGTTTAACAGTAAAGTTTCTAAAAGTTTTCAAAATAAGTTTATAACTCATTATTTATTTTTGTGTTTTCTTATTAAAATAATATTTAAAATAATAGTTAATCATTACTTCACATGTGCTGTCACTAGATAACAAACTTTCAAATAAAAAACTAACAAGCCTAGTTAATCTTCAGTTCAAAGGAGAGATGAGGTGTTTAGGGAAATTTCACAAAGTGTAAAACATATGACAGTCTGAACAAACAGACCACCTTATCTGTTAGCCATACCATCAGGACTCCCAAGACCACCAAAGCAAGATTCACCAACAAACACAGGACAAAGTTCTTCAGAAAACTTTTGCTTCCATAGAAATGTTCTGTGAGAAATAAGCCCTTGACAAAGATAATAAGCAATTTACAAAAATCACTGAGGGGCTTCAGAAGGGGAGTCGAGAAAACACGAAACACCTCAGCCCTTCATAATAATGAAGATGGTTGGCTCTGCTCACGGTACCAAATTTAATTTAGAGAGCACATCGGGGCCGGTTCTCACTGCAGAATGCAAAGGCACTAAGCCTCTTAGCTCCTCTGAAAACCCTAGTAATTTCAAGTCAGCATAATCTTTAATTAACTAGAACATAAGATTTCTCTGTCCCCTAATCACATATGTGAGGCAAACTGATACTCCTTCAGGAAAATCAAAGAACAGCCAATACCGTGATCTCTCCAGAGCTGCCTCTGGCTCTTGTCACATGGAAGGAAATGAGTGTGGGTCCATCTGGTGGGGTTGGCTCTGAATATGTCTTCTTAGATAAAGACTCCGGAGCAAACTGAACGACTCCGTTCGGATCACCAAACTTTTGTACCTAACAAACATTAACAGGACGTGAATAGAATATAGAAAAATGATGACAAAATCTAACAGGTTAACAATCTAACAGGTTAACCTTAGCATAACCAGAAGGAATTCTACACAGAAGCAGTACTTGAATATAACCCTACCAATCCACTTGATATAAAAAAAAAAAATCTTCCTTACTACACTTGACTATGATCTAGATCAAATCGTTTCTTATTCTCCAAAGATAGAAGCAAATAAAGATGGTGACTCAAAGAAAGCAAAGGGGTAACTGTTTCATGCTGGCATTTTATTCACCATAGACCTCATCCATCTAGCCACGTGGCATCAGTTGCATGCTTCCTATGATACAGAGCAGACAGAGACAAAGGCCCTGTGGGCAGTAGCTGTTCCTTCTGAAGCTGAGGATCAAGCTCAGTGCGTGTTTCACCACTGAGCGATACTCCCCAGCCCCCACGCTGTTTAATGCTGTACACTACACAGGCAAGGATATGGTGTTAAACTGTCTGGTGAAACTCCATTCTAGATATCGCCGTGAAAGTACTTGTAGATACAATTAGCTTTTGAGTCAGTTGTTCTAAATGAAACATATTACCCCCGATAATGTGGGTAAATCTCACCCAATCAGCAGGAAGATGGAACAGTAAAGAGGGAAGATTGGAACTCAGGAGCCAAGCTTGACTTCCCTGGCCCTGCCACATGGAATACCAAGAACATTGCAACTCTTTCATGTTTCCTGCCTACTCACCAAATTCATGCATCCCTCCCTCGTCTCCTCCTTTTCTCCTTCCCCTCTCCTCTCTCTTTCCCTGTAAACCCCTCTTTCTTCCCTTCCCCCATACATGGTATATATGCACATTTGCCTGTGTGTATGTGTGTGCTTACATATGTGTGCATACATGAGTGTGCATGCGTGTGTGTGTACATGTGTGTGTATGCATGCATGTGTGTGTGCATGCGTGTATGTATGTATGTATGTATGTGTGTGTACATGCATTCATGTGTATATGTGTGTGCATGCATGTGTGTGCATACATGCGTGTGTGTGTGGGGGGGGTGTTTCCCTTTGGTTCTCTTTCTCAGAAAACCACTAACATATCCAGACCCACAAACAGAGTTTTCAAAAATGAAATCTATCATTTCTCTGTACTGTTTTCAGAAGGCATTATTTTCCCCAGAGCCTCCCCTCTGCTAACTGTGTAGTTCATATGAAAGACATGGAAGTCAGGTCAGATCCAACCACTGTGCCACATGAAAAGAACCTTTAGTCTGACTCACAAAGAGTTAATAATTTTTAAAAAGTTTGATGACAAGATACTCTGTTTACCACAACATAATAAATACCTCATCTCTAGAAATGTCAAATATTCTCCACATGCCAAAGTTCCTCTAAAATTATTTTCTCTAAAATTTTCTATAAAATGTTAGTTATAAGTACTTTAACATTCTATTAAAATTTCAGTAAAATTATCAATAGTGAAGCTGCTATGTAATTAACTAATATAAAAATAAGAATGTTTGACTTATGAGAATTACTAAAACTTCATGTTATTGTTTGTTTTGAGACAGGGTTTTCTGTACACCAGGCTGGCCTCAAACTCACTATGTAGCAGAGGCTAACCTTGCCTCCACCTCCTCAGTGCTGGGGTTATATTATAGGCACATATCACCACATGTGGTATTTGGAATGCTAGGCTCAAACCCTGGGTTTCATGCATGCTAGACAAGCAGTACATAAACTGAACCACATCCCCAGCGCCTTCTAAAGGTTTTAGTATTTCAGTTCCACATTAGCATGTCTCAAGCAATAGAAATAACTTTCTGATAAATCCATTAAATTCCAAACTTTTTCAGTGAAGGCATTCAGACTTACTGTTATTGCAACAGCTTCTGCTCTGGGGTCTAACTTAGCGTCTTTTGAAGGCTTCAGCTGAACAACAAAAGTCTCTTCAGCTTCAGTTTCCTCATGAGGACACATGGTAAGAATGATGGTTCTCACCCCGCCTTCTCCCTCTCCGAAAGAGACTGTCCCACTCACAGGGTCCTCAATGTCTCCATTCTGTGGTGGTAGGGCTTCCTGAGAATTGGGCCCTACGATCTCCCAGTTCACCTGCAAGGTGTATAGAGTTTCAGTAAAGATGACCAATTTTAAGCAAGGGACTTTTGCAGTCCATGTGCAATTACTAAGAGTACACAGATATGAAACTATTCTAGGATACATTGGGCTAATTCCTGGTTTATCTGTGCTGAAAATAGTATTTTCAAAAAAAGATGAAAAATCATACCTAGTAATTTATAATAATCACAGATAAACAAAAGTATATTTTAGATATTTATGTTACAAACACACAAACATGGGTAAAGTTATGAGTCCAACACTTTCCAGCATGTGCTTAGATCCTGCCAATCAGAACATGCTAGAATAAGACACCAAAACTGAAAATTCTGCCTTGTGCAGATTTTTCTGAATATACTTAAATTCCCGTTGTAAAAATGAGTACAAATGTTCATACATTTGATCAGAAAGTAGTATTTGGATTATAGCAAACATAGCTTTGGGTTTCTATAATTCTAATTTGTATAGTTTTTATATCCTTTAGAGGGAAAAGATCACATGATTCTTTTCGCTTATCACTTTCTACTTCAGAAGCACTGGACTACCCTCTCCCTCTGGAGACACCATGCCTCTTCTTTCTTGCCTCACATGATGCTTACAGGACTCTCACCTTCCTAGGTTTCTTCCCTCTTTATTTCCAGCCTTCCTTCCTCTGATCCCTGTAAGGCAGGAGCCCATAGCTCAGCTCTATATTCCGCACAAGCTAGCTATATCACAGGGTCATGGGGTCAGCGGCTCCCTACACAAACACCTGCTGTGCCTTGTCATCCCTAGTCACCTAACAACAAGCAGACTCAGCCTTTGTGACCCTCCTGGGACTTGTCCAGCAGGATCTGAAATTAAAATGTGTAAAAGCAGAATTCTTAAATATTTACTCCAGCAATGAAATTTCATAAGGCTGGTACCACAGTCCAGCTGCTTCTAGGAGTCATCCACGATTTCTCTCTTCTTCAGTCTCCATCTTTAACCCAACAAACTGTCCACATCTTGTTCTCTCGATCTCCATCACTCATGACTGACTTCTTGACAATCCATCTTTCATGTGGCAGCTAAAAGTGAGCTATGCCAGTGAAAACAGGGTCACGTATTCTCTGGCTAAGTCTCCCTTAATGGTATGCTCTTCCCACTTGTGATAATGTCTTGAACTGGCCCTGGATCAGTCCTAGGTCCTATATGATCAATGACCTGTGCACTGTCTGATCCTTTCATTAAGCCCCCAACCATGTGGACTTCTCCTACCAACAGGTCGGGCTTATTCCTCTGCAGGATCCATTATTCCTATTTCCCAAGCCATTGCATGTTAGATAATCCAGGTCACTCAGTCCATGTATCCCAACACTATAAGTAGATCACCACAATCATGCTTTTGTTAAAAAAAATTGTTTGCTACTATTCAAGTTTATCCAAGTGAGCACTGTGAAAACAGAGATCATGTCATTTCCAAACATGTTCTCACCTACTGAACTGACTAATGTTTATCAGAGTCGTTCATTCACTGCCTAATTTGCTGCTAAGAGTTCCTGAAAACAGAGGTATGGCTTATACACTTCTATAGACTTCATCAATCTTAGAAGCCACTTAACACTTACAATGAAATTAGTAAATACTATAGATGGATAGATAGATAGATAGATAGATAGATAGACAGACAGACAGACAGACAGACAGACAGACAGATAGATAGATAGATAGATAGATAGATAGATAGACAGACAGTTGAGCACATCTGGGGAATAGAAAATCCAACATCATATATAACACATCAGAATTACTTTTAACATCATAGGAAGAATGACTCTACCTGAATCTCTCCCAAGAGTCTTCCAGTCCGCTCCAGCACCAAGTGTAAAACCATTGTGGAGTTGGGGTTAGGAATAGAAATCTTGCTTTGGTTGAGAAATCTGATGACGTCAAATGGAGAGTCCCTTCTGGTAATTGTGATTTTGCTCACTAGGTGGTGCCCAAGGACTGCTCCACCAGTCACTCCAGTAAGCAGAATTTCAAACTGCTCTTCAAATTCCCTGCATGGCAAGAAGGAGCAGCCTGTGAGTCTAAACATATTAAAATGCTTGTAAAATCCAAATAGCTAGTCATTTTCCAAATTGGCCATACATATTCAAGGCCCAGCAGGCACACAGCAGGGAGAGGGTGTTCGGCACAAACGCAGACTCCACATGAGGCTCTCACATCCCACTCGTTAGACTTCTTAACTGTGGAAGGCTTCAGAGTGTGGACACAAAGATGCTGCCACATCTGTACCAGACCACGTAGGGACAGAATTTTCTTTTAATCTGAGGGAAAAAACGAGGTATACAACCACGGTGCCATCCTCTTTCCCAGTCCCCTTGATCTCTCTCAAGCGTTGTTTCTCAGCAGGAATGTTCATCATCAGTGCAAACATGAGTAAAAGTTAGACCCTGGTACCCATGCTTCATGTAAGCCCACTCTGTGTCCTGTATGACCAACCTTTCATTATCATCGGCGATGGAGACATTTATAAAGCTCAGGTTCTGCCCATGCTGAAAGGCGACTGAGCTACCGTGCAGGACATAGCCTCCTGGAACAGCAGAGTAGCCCTGGGACCTGAAATCAGCTGACACATGTCCATAAGTCCCGCGAAGCCTCAACACCGGGACTGTGATCACAAGGGCATCTTCCTCCACTGTAACAGGAATGTAGAATTAGCTGGGATATTAGAAAAAGCAATCAACTTTTACATGATACAGCTAGACTGGACTAGGCAATTCAAACCAGTACTCACTCCTGGTTTGCACAATTCATAAGTTAAATTAATGAAAGTCTTAAAAATTAGTGAAAGTTTTGTCACTCGTATCTTTTAATGAAGAATATAGTTTACCAGATGTTGAAATTTAGAGTGATTAATTTTTTAAAATGTAAGCAATCTATCCAGTCATTAGTATGGGCATTCTTCCTCTTCATGCTATGTACAAATAAGAGATGCTTGCTTAACACAGTGGTAGATAAGCACAGGTTGTGTATAAAAGGATACTGGATACTTCTACATATTTAGCTGAAATACAAATAGTGCACATAAGGGAGCCTTATGATATTTATATCATGGGGTATTTTTTACATTTATATTGTGTGTTTGTGTGTGTGTGTACTAGTGTGTATATGTATGCATACACAGCACACGTGTGGTGCTTAGAGGTCAGATCCCTTCCTCCACCAGCTGGGTTTCCAGGATTGATTCCAGCTTGTCACACTTGACAACAAATTCATTTACCCACTAGGCTATCCCAATAGTCCTTGTATGAATATTTTTAAACCTACACATATAAGCTATTATATTTTTAATCCTAGAAAATCAGAAAATATCAATATTAATGTTTGATTTCAATTTAAAAATTCAAATTCAAATCTTAAACTAAAAAGTATTCATTACTAAAACTTCTCCCCAAAACAATGAATTAATGAGAAATGAGTAAATAGAAAAATATCATATTTTTTCTTGATGCAAACATTCAGCATCACTTTACCAGTCATGGACTGAAACTCAACAAAACAGTTGATGTGATAAGCTATGGCTTATCCAACGTCCTCAGAAAGGATGCAGAAGGCTCTGGTCAGCTCCTCCCTCCAGGTTCCTGCCTTGAGTTCCTGCCCTGACTCCTGGATGGTGGACTGCAAGCTAGAAGATGAAATAAACCCTTTCCTCCTCAAGCTGTTCTGGCCATGGTGTTTTATCTTGGCAATAGAAATCTAAGACACTTAGCCATCTTCCCAGCCCCTTAACAATGCTGTAAGCAGACCTATTTTAGTCATCCTTAAAGTTTAAACATCAGTTTTTTCTAGATCAAGTAACCATTTGGCTTTGCGAAATACCAAGAGACTCAAGACTACCTAAAAGTAACTGAAAATAACTTTCTTAATGTAGGGATATTTTTGTGATTAGGCAAAAATGCATATGAGAATTCAGATTCCTGTGTAATTCAGAAAATGCTGTGACCATTAGGACACCCAATTAAGCTTACCTGAGATGGCAGTGTACTCTGGATCAAATTCAATGATGCCCTCTGCATTATCATTTTTCGTTATTATGATTTGAACAATGGAGATGTTTCCAATTTCAGGAGGTTGATCTATCTGAAGTCCATTCTCTTGGATGGTAAAATCATACCCTCTTGCAAAGTCATAGGAAACAGAAATTAAAACATAATAAAATAACAAACATACACCTGTGTAGCAAGAACACGTGGTCTTTCTATTCCCTATGCCTTAGTTCTAGTAAGTATTATACTGATTCATTTATGTTGAAGTACTGCACCATGAACCTACAGCCTCACGCATGCTGGCAAACACTCTACCCCAGCACTGTAATGGCCTTAAATATCCCCGATACTAAGGCTATCTTGTGTGAAGCAGGGTTTTTATGTTGTTTCCAAGTATTGGTGCTTACATGAAACAAAGTCTAATATAAAATCACAAGTTTGGACAAAATAAAAATAATCAGACTACAAGGAAATATAATTTAATTATAATCAATATCCTTCAATCCAGTTCTCCGCTTACTTGGATAACAACAGATTTCTGCAAAAGACTTTTTCAGACTGATGTCACTGCCTTCAACAAGCTTTGACTTCCAGGCCTCTATAGCGTTTCAATTCCTAAAGTAAAAGTTTTTTAAAAGATACTAAACAATTCCAATCCTTCCTTCAGTTCCAAAATTCTTACGTGGTATTCATACCTAGAAGGATTGAAAGCTGTAAATAAGATGGTATGTGGAGCAAACTTGGAGAACCAAAGTTTATGACATTAAACGAGAGGAATAATTCTCCTAATCGGCACCCTGAGATCCCTGTGGACTGGCAGGTTACCAGAAGACCTACCAAAGCAGTGGTCTCTAGGCAAGAGGCAAAACAGGAAACACATTTAATTCTATTGCTTCTTTTTCATATCAAAGGAAGCCTAGTAATTATCTGCAAGCAAAAACTGTTTCCCAGAATCCACGTCGAAATTTGTAACTGAAAGAGGGGACAAGAAGGCAAAATCTACAAGTCCTAGTTAATCAAAGGCACAGACATGCTGGCAGAGGTGGGGAGCTACTTCTCCCAAACTGCATTCACCTAAGCAAGACTGAGCAAGGGGAGGAACTTAATTGCCATGGCCAGATACGGAATCATTTCTTGATGTTTATGTGAACTCAAAATACAGTTTCACCTCTCTAGGTAAGATAATGCATACTCTACCCAAGTTTCTGAGTGAAATACTGAGTTGGGAAAAATTTGAAGCATGATATGTATATGTGTACTGGCTGGTTCTGTGTCAACTTGACACAAGTTGGAGTCATCAGAGAGAAAGGAGCCTCAGTTGAGGAAATGCCTCCATGAGATCCAACTGCCGGGCATTTTCTCAATTAGTGATTGCTGAGGGAGAATGCAGCCCATGGTGGGTGGTGCCATCCCTGGGCTAGTGGTCCTGGGTTCTAGAAGAAAGCAGGCTGAGCAAGCCATGGGAAGCAAGCCAGTGAGCAGCACCCCTCCATGGTCTCTGCATCAGCTCCTGCCTCCAGGTTCCTGACCTGTGGGAGTTCCTGACTTCCTTCAGTGATAAACAGCAATATGGAATATAAGTCAAATAAATCTTTTTCTCCCCAACTTGATTTTTGGTCATGGTGTTTCATTGCAGCAACAGAAACTCTTAAGACAATCTGTAACTAATGAACATACATTTTAATGTCTAAGAAAACTTGCAGTCTTCTCTGAATTCATGCATTATTCTAGGAGAGGGTCCCCTCCTGTACCCTGTGTAGACTCAGGGATTCAACCAAGAGCAGTTCACTGTGCTAGTAAAGCCTCCTATTCTGTCGGTCAAGCCGCTCCAGGGAAGGAACAAGCCTCAATATGATGGATTTTGATTCTTCATTGAAAACATGCTACACCAGTTTTGTCAACTACCATTCAATTTTGTTCCAGTTTAAACTGCTATCTCAAGCATCTATCTCATTTACCCACCGAGAAGACAGTACAGACTTCAGTATACCAAGGAGAGCTGCCTCCCACTCACACTCGTTCAGGGGTCCAGAAAGGGGGTAAGCAATTCTTGCCCCCACCCACCAGATGACCACTCCCTAGAAAACAGTCAGGCTAACTCCACAGGAATCGAGAGATGTCATACCATCATCAATTCCCTGGCTTTGCGGGATGGATGCACATAACAGGACCATGCTCTCTCAGCACGGAAGCAGGGGAATAAAGTTTAGAAAATTATGAAAGTTGTAGTCTGTCTTAATCTCTTTGTTCAGTCCTGACCCAACGTCTCCCCTCTTTCTTTCTCCTCCCACACCCTCATTTCCTGGCCTTTACCTTCCCTGGAGGTCCACTTTTGTAATGGCAAGAGCAAATTCCTCGGGGCCTTCAGGAAGGTTGTCGTCAAGGATTTCAACATGCAGACTTTTCGCCCTCTCTCTGGCTTCAAAGAGGAGCTCCCCTGATGTGGGAACAAAGTCCCAGCCTGCCTCGGCCGTCCTGCTATCAGTCTCACACCAGACTCGCACACGTCCAAAAGAGCCACCTGAGCGGACAACTGTGACATTAACCTAGGAGAAAATTGCTGACCTGTTTAATGTGAATGTTTAATCCACTGAACAAATCATCGCTAATTAAAGAGTCTATTTACTGGGATTATGTTGGAATTAAACTTAACTCCACACAATTATAGAAATTACATGTTATAATAGCGATACCAGGAAGAAACTAATCCACTGGGGGAAACGCTTTAGAAAAGGAACGAAAAGGAAATGCCTTTTAGAGGCTGCTCAGCACACTAGAAACAAAAGAAACAGTAAGAGCTGAAGCAGCCCATGCCATACCCTCTGCGCTGCTTCTGAGACTCGAAGCTGCTCATGTGAAAATGAGAACCGCCCATAGGGGCCATCACTGGCCACCATGGTGATGTCGGCGGTGATACTGGCTTCATTCAGCACTCCACCCTCACTGATTCCAGTGAGCTGAAACTCATAGGAACACTTCTCCTCAGGGATGTCATCATCCAAAGCCTGGAAAAGTTAAAAAAAAAATAGGCCATTCACAGAAGAATGTGTAAAATGTAAAGAAATGTCTGTAGCTAATTCTTTTGTCCCATATCAAAAGAGCCCTCTGGTGTGGGACAGAGAAAAACCAATATTTTTATTTAAAACAGGTTGATTATAAATGTGATCTCTTTCTAAAGAAGAAAAGGGGATATGATATAGATATGATAGGATGAAAGGGTAGATTATTGAATCTACTTTTTAAAGAGCAACTTGTTTAAAATGTTTTACATTGCTATGGATTTTAGTTTATTGATACAAGTTTAAACTTAATTTTGTTATATTGTATATATATTTCTATTCTTGTTTGAGGTATTATGTTTATGTAACTCATTTAAATTGTAATGGATAATTGAAAAATACAGATTAATAATTAGTCTTCTATGATAGTCAAACTTATAGTCATGTCGTTTTCTAGGTATACATAGATATAATTTAATTAGGTAGGTAATCTTCAAGCAACTCAAAGACCTACAGAATATGGCAATTAAAATGTTTTAAAAATTTAGACTTTCTGGACAGTGAGACATGTCTGCTCCTGGCAGCACCAATTTACTTCAGAGAGGAGGATGGGCATTGAAGACACTCCGTATGGAGTTTATCTTCTTCTTGACAAAAATAGCCATTTGGGCAAGAAACTGTTCTTGCCTGGACTGCTTGATCGACTGTACATGAAGGACCCATAGGAAGGTGACCACTGAACTTTGCTTGGCAAAATGGTCCTTCAGGTTCCTGCTTCACAGAGGAAACTGCCAGACATTCTACGGGACACAGAGAGAAGTGACTGAGAGACTCTGGGCCTGTGGGCTGAAGACAGATGCCCCAACTTTACAAGAGAACTTTGGATGACTGTCCAGGTTGTCAGCTGTCTCTGTCTACCCTGCAAGACTCCCGAAAGTTGCTTGCATCCTTCTCCTGTTTCTCAGGTCATAGTATATCCTTCTGGGGTCTTTAATGTAGTTGAAGACTAGAGTTAAAATTTCCTCAGTTATGATAAAAGATAAGTTAGATATAAAACCTTAGACTCACAAATATAAGATAGATAGGATATCTTCTTTAATATTATAACTGTAATTCTTGCTTAATAATTGGTTTGTTATATGTAATTTTACTATGTTAAAGTTAAAACCTTCCTTTTTGAAAAAAAAAGAAAAAGAGGAAGTGCTGTGTATGATTGATTGATAAATAAAACACTGATTGGCCAGTAACCAGGCAGGAAGTATAGGTGAGACTAGCAGAGAGGAGAATTGAGAGAACAGGAAGGCAGAGAGGAGGAAACGCCAGCCTGTTGTCCAGGGAGCATCATGTAAAGGCAGCAAGTAAAGCCACAGAACACATGGCGACATATAGATTGACAGAAATAGGCTGAGTATAAGAGTAAGAGCTAGACAGTGGTAAGCCTGAGTTAATGGCCAAGCACTTTAAATAATATAAGCATCTGTATGCTTATTTTATAAGTGGGCTACAGGACAGCCAGAGCTTGGCGGGACCCGGAGAGAAAAACATTATCTACAAGTGAGTCCTATCCATAGAAACAGCCACGGAATCTGTAGCCTCCCTCCATTTACGCACACATGCACACATTCACACACACACACACGCTGACAGAAGGCAATCACATTGGTACCTGAATTACTATAGTAGCTTCAGACTGTCCATCCTGAATTGTCAGTTGTCCTGATGTCTCAACAAACTCCCCCATGGAAGGAGGAAATATCCTCCAGTACACCATGATCTCCCCTGAGATCCCTGGGCCACGAACAAGGCTACAACAGTACATGGATATATATTTAGTACATTTTTAATTAATAATATGTCCTAAACAGTTTCTGTGCCTTTAAGCCAATTTTGACTATCTCAAGAATCTTATGCCTTTAAATAACCTTACCAATCAATGGTAAAGCAGGCAAAAGTCTTAGAATTGCAAGATAGTAACGTCAGAATTCCTAAGCTAACATTTCACTACCTCAACAAAAACAGTGCAACAAAAATGAGCTCTAAACTTGGAGGTTTAAAGGGATAGAAACAAGCATTTATGGATTTAACATCCACTAACGAGTCCTCTGAAGAACAGAACACATGCAGACTAGTGGAAAAGGATGAAGTCAATACCAGGGATGGAATTCAGACAGTTGCCAAGATCAAATCCCCAGGCCAACCCAGCTATGACACTGGTGGCTGTTGCTTCATTCCTCGGTGGGCAATGTGGGGAGACAAACCTGCCCACAATCATGCTGGCTTAGTTACGTGCCAGGCTCTGGCTGGAGAAGCACACGCTCTTAATACTTTTACTTGAAATGGTTTTCTATTAGCTGTATTATCTGGAAACACAGCAGAATCTTACACATAGACCTGCTGCCTAATAATCTTAATGAATGAACAGGTTAATGATGTCATGGGCTGAATTTTCTAGATTTTCCATTCATAAAGCTTCCCCACTTATAATTGGACATTTTCATCTTTAATATCCTTATACACCATGTGTTATATTTTGGCATTATTGAACTAATTCATACCTTTAGAAAAGGGGCTGACAGAAGGAAACTATGCATCTTGGTACTCTTCCTGATCTAAGACAGAATGTTTTAAAACTTGTAGCTGTGCTGTGCTATATTGAAAATGTTAAGTCTTGCATTTTTGCTTAAGTCATGGTTTGCTACTAAATTTTTCAAATATTTGCTCTGTACACATTAATAAAGTTAAGTGAATTTATCTTATTTTCATCCCAATAATACATGAAGCAAACCTTTTGACTAATAAATCTATGTGTTTACTCCTGAAATAAATGCAATTTTGTTTTGATTTATCATATCTTTTCTACATTTGGGATTTTTTGGAGATAGGATCTCACTATGTAGCCCTATCTGGCCTGGAAATCAGCTATTAGACCAGGATGGCCTCAAATTCACAGAGATCTGTGCAAGTATTGGGATAAAAGTTGCACACTTTTCACCTTTATAGAGGAACTAAGTCCTCGTGTACGCAGTGACAGAGTGGGGCTGTCTAATTTTAGCCCCATGAACTATGCGGCTCACCCCTAAGTGAGCAAGGCTACTTGTGACCTAGCATCAAGACAGCTTGGGTACAGTTTTTAATTTCTGCCTGGTTTGTTCTCCACACAATGCTTACCAGTATGTAACATGACAATGAGTATCATGTATGCTTGAGAATGGTACTCTAGGCAGTAACTCTCAACCTACTTCATGCTGTGACCCTTTAATACAGTTCCTCATGTTGTGGTGACCCCCAACCATAAAATTATTTTGTTGCTACTTTATAACTGTAATTTTGTTACTGCCTTGAATTGTAATATAAATATCTGATAAGCAGGATATCTGATATGCCACCCCCAAAGAGATCTTGACCCACAAATTGAGAACCCCTCCTCTAGGCCATTTAAATAAAACAAAGAAAAAAACATAAAATCCTCACCTGATGATGCCAGTGCCATTATATGTTGCTGAGGGTTCCCCAATAATGATGTGTCTAGATGATGAAGCAATCCCAACTTCTGATGCACCCTTATCTCCTCGAATGATTATTGATGCACTACCTGAGTTTAAGATCAAATAGCACAGTTTGATGCAACCATGTATGTGTGCACACACTAACCAATAAAACTCAAAAGGCAATAATGGCAGGTAGGCGCTGTTACCTGCCTTTCACCAGGAGGGTAGCAAAGCATACTGAGGCACCAGAGCCTTTATAGACTTTCCCATGATCACACTTGGAAAAGAAGCCAGGAGAAGCTTGGCAAAACCCATCTCACACTGCATGGTAAGCAAGCTCTCCTCTACCAGGGGCATGAACTGATTCCTGCAGTATTCATCCTTTGCTGTTGGCTGCATGGTAAGCAAGCTCTCCTCTACCAGGGGCATGAACTGACTCCTGCAGTATTCATCCTTTGCTGTTGACTGTGTGGCTTTGTCAGTGGTCTCTGTGGCCAAAGTAAGAATTCTTTAGGACCTTTTTTTTTTTAACTTTTAATTTCCTGACTACTACTCACAAAGCTGATTACTTATTATTATTACAAGGTAAACTAAACTATCTAATAATTTGAGAATACATACAAAAACTTAGCCATAATTTGATGAAGATCGTTTCCAGAAGCACACGTTGGAGTTCCATAAGAAACAAAATCAAAAAACATAAACAGAATGTTGTACATTTGCATTCCTTACAATGGCTTAATGAAACTAAGAGTGATTTGTCATCTACAAGTATGCCACAATGAGACATAAATACAGTCAGAGTTTGTTTGTGTTGATAATGTTTACCTTGCCTCATGTGGTGATATTTTATTTGTGCTTTAGTAAATAAAGCTTGCCTGGAGATCAGAGGAAAAAACAAGCCATTATAAGTAAACAAAGAAGTCAGGCAACAGTAGCACATGCCTTTAATCCTATCATTTGGCAGGCAGGGATCTGTCTAGATCTCTGTGAGTTCAAAGCCACACTGGAAACAGAGCCAGGTGTGGTGGTACATGCCTTAAATTCCAATACAAGTTAACCATAGAGGTCTGGAGGTCTGTATAAACAGACAAGAAGTAACAGAGCTAGGCAGGAAGAGGAAGTGATGTAGCTGGACAGAGAGAGCAAATCAGATAGCAGAACAGCAAGGCATATAGGCGTGGGTAGACAGGAAGTCGTTTGCATTTGGAAGCTGCGGAGTTGGTGAGGTGAGGTTAGCTTGAGGCTGTCCTAATCCTCTGATCCCTCTTAGGCCTTAATCCCTATATCTGGCTCCGTATTTTTTATTTAATAAGACCATTTAGAAATTCATGTACAGCCCCATGGATATATTCTTATTCTGTGCAGAATCATCCTATGCAACATCAGCCCTGGCATTTTAATGAGATTTCACTGATCTAAATTAAAACGCATGCAGGACATGGTGCCTTGCCATGACTGTTTCACAGGCGGGTCAATACTATGGGCTAATACACAGGAAGAGTAACCAGCCATCCCAGTGGTCTAAACCCTTCTGAGAATGTTCCAGGCCACAGCATCCACTGTGGTCCCGGAGCCTTGTTTAGCATGGAATTTCAATGTTATAAAAGGACTGTGTGACAATAAGCAAATTTCTATTTTAAAACTTTCTTGTCCTTTTTGTTGTTATATTACTCACAGCATGATGAAATCATTAAAGACCCGTCTTTTTTATAAAGATCTAAGAATTAGGATACCTAATTTTGAAATATGAAAACAGCCAAGTGATTAATTTTAGATAAAAATGTGTAGAAATAGACTATCAAAATCACACCTTGTGTGGTAATTTTTAAAATTATGCACTATATGGTTGCTATAAATAAATTAAAATTATAGGCAACCAAGCATCACTATCAGCATTTCAAGGTTAATAATTTGAAATTCATCTAATATAAAAACATATCAAAATGGAATTATATTGAGCATATTGCTATGCAGTCCAGTTTCATAACACAGAAATTATCTGTGTAATTAAGAATTCTTGGGACTGGAGAAATGATCTAGAAGTTAAGAGTGCCTCAGTCCCAGCATCCACAACAAGCAACACCAAACACTGTAAACTCCAGCTCAGAGGCATCAAACGTAGGGCAGCTCATAACTCAAGGTAACTGCAGTCCCAGTGAGATTCAATTCTTCTGGCCTGCATACGCACCTGCACTCCCATGCACAAACCCACATGAACATATACACACACACAATTTTTAATCACAATTTTTAAATTAAAAATTAATTGTTCTTTATTTTAGTGTAATGAAGAATTTTTCTGCTACAATGTATAGTGACATTTAACAGCTTACTACGGTTTAATCATGTAGCTGTTATATTTTATTTTATAAGCATCACCATAATGAACAGTTTTCTTTTAAAACAAACAAAAAAACCCTAGTGGTATACTATCTTTGATCCATGACTGTATAAATTGTAAGTATTGTATTATAATTTTAATTTTTAAAACTTTGTCTATAATATAGATAAAAATGTATATTTACATTGAAGCACATTTTTAAAAAATTATAAAATCCAGCACTGCCTACCTTTGTAACTACTTATTTTGGATACTTTTAATTTCAAAAACTATGAGTTTTCTTACCTTTCATTGGAGATATCTCTATCTCATCAGCCGCTCTCAACTCGATGGTGAAGCGCCTGTCCTCCCCCAGTGCGCTGTCCTGAAGTGTCTGCAATGTCACGGTCTTTTGGGACTCAGTCTACGGCATTTAAACAAGAGAAAGACCGTTTCAAAACAAAAAAAAAAAGTAACAAAATCAAATCTTGAATGTTCTCATTAGAAAAATAAGATTTATGTGCATGAACTGCTCAAGAATCTGTTTTTGTCACATACAGTTAGGAATGATATGAAGGAAGAATTGCAATATAAAAATTATCTCTAACTACAAATTTTAGTTTAGTTTCTTGAGTGGGGAAAGGGGAAAAAATAGCACAACTCTTAAATTTATTGAAAAATTTTCCAGCATTGAAAATTCAAACTTGTAGAGCTAATTGTTCACATCCCAAAGAGACCAAGGTCACAGGGCTGACTGCATAAGACACAGTGTGCTACGTGCAAAGGAGAGACCATTTCACAGCCGTGACTGACAGGCCTTGAGATGTCTGCTGTCCACGACCTCTGGACAAGCTCCTGGCTTCACCAGTGTTAGGGTGGTGGTGCCTACCTGGTTGGCAATACTGCCTCAAGGCAACAGCAGGGGCCTAACCCATGAGAATCTGGCGTCTGTATCCAGAAGCTGGTGTTTTTGTTACAGGCTATAATTATCATTTGTCTGCAGGTTTAATGTTTTGTTTTTCTCTATTTTCATGTACGTCTTACTTGTCTCTTACTGAACATATTCCTAGATACTTTACATTTTCCTGATAGGTATTTTTATCTTTAATGGTAAGTCACAAATATTACTTACTTTATGTGTCAATAAATGTTTTTCTTGTACCCGCTAGACACAGCTTACATTTGCCCTACATTTGTCTGTAGCCCTAGCTCTACTGGAGAGCACATAGCCTTTCAGTTTATATTCTCCTTGTCTCCTTTTATCTCTCCATTTCACTCTTGCTTTTCAAAGCTGCCCCTCCGTCATTCTGTGAGGTGAACATATACTTTGTATACTTTGGTATACTATGCTGCCCATGCCATCCGTGCTTCCCTCGGTGGATTCGATTTGTCTTTTGATTATTATGGAGGGTCCATTGATTATAGTTACACATTTATGTTCATCTAATTGGTTACTTACTATTTTAATAAATGCTACCACAAATATTCTTGCAATCCTTATTTGTGCATTCAGACATTTCTCTGAGGTGCCCCAGAATGTGTCCATCCTTAAACAGTAAGTTCACCTGGTCTCTAAAAGTTATTTGCAACCTTAAAACAACTTTGGGGAACTTTTTGGCTGTTACTAAATGTATGAATATTATTCCAAACCTAGAGTTTTTCTAATGTGTTTTTGTGTTAAATAAGCACTGTAACTCCTACCTGGGCACAGTTTATCTAACACACATCTGCTGTTTATATCATATCATAGCCTTCTTTATGCTCGCAAACACCAGATTGCAACACTACACTGGGAATCACTTTAAGCAGTGAAATCACAAACCCACAAATGAAGAAAACTCATTCTAAAGAGACTATATTAAAAGCACATTTCTTTACATTGTGAGGTAGAAACAAGTCCATTCTCTGTCTTCCCTCAGCAAGGAATGTACAAAATATGAAAACTGAATTTTCCATCATTCTTCCTATGTCAGCAAATGACTAGGAAAGCATAAAGCATGTTGGCAAAGGAATACAAATCCATTTTAGTGAGTAGGTGCAGTCCACAAATGCAGAAGTATTAACAACCCTTCCATGAATCATAAGAACCTACTATATTCTGTATATTCACACTGCCTGCTAGGAAACATGCAAGGCAACTTTTCATGTCACAGAAACTCCAGTTCTCAATATAAGTAACAGCTGGTAAGTGGAGGGAAAGGCTGTCACTCCAAATCAACAGTTTTGTAATGCTGATTATAAATGATAACAAGGACTCTGGCACGAAGAGGTAATGGGAATGATTCATGGGGAGATGAGCTCAGAAAACCTCTACTAGTGATTCAAAATTCACTTAAGTACAAAGAGTCTTAAAAAAAAAAAAAAAAAAACTTCTCATCAAACCCCTCAAAAAAATCCTCCTCAATTCAATCAAGAATTTTCAAAGATTTTTGATCCTGGAAATTTTTTCCTTAAAATTTTTATTATTCATATTCTGCACAAAAGCTACATATATATATGGAGCAGCAACTTGGGAATTACCACTGCAGGCTGTCTCAGAGAGACAGAAATACAAACTATTTGCTTGCTATGGAACTTCAAAGTTATACAATTTTAAGCACACGATGTAGGAAAGATGAGCTTCACCACATTGAGAGCAAACAGCTATTTTCATTAACTCTTTTTAAATAGCATTTCTTTCATTAGGCACTTTGAAGTGTCAGGAAATTAGCCTGCTTGCAAAGACTATTCCTGCAGTCCTTATGCCTTGCCTGGTTAAACATTGCTATTCTTGTTTTGTACTTTGAAAACCAAATATTATCAACATAAATAAATTTACCTAGATCCCAAGTAGGAAGAAGGTTTCAGTTAGTCTCATTGGATGTAAAATTTGTCCCTGGTTACTTCCAATATTACAAGAGAACCACAATTGAAAGGAAATGTAGTAGATAAAATGAATACAAACACGGGTGACCTAAGAAATCTGTCATCGTATAGAAATGGCCATGAAAGGACTGAAGGACAGATGTAAATCTCTGAACTACCAAAACCATGATGGTACAGAGAGACTGGGGGAGTGGGGAGGTGTTAGCAGTAAATCCTGAGCAAAAGAATGTATTTACCCAAGATTTTGTTGTTCTTGTTTTGTTTTTTGTTTGGTTTTGCTTTGTTTTGTTTTTTGAGATAGGGTTTCTCTGTGTAGCCTTAGCTGTCCTAGAACTCATGCTGTAGACCAGGCTAGCCTAAAATTCACAGAGACATGCTTGACTCTGCCTCCCAAGTGCTGGGATTAAAATTATGTACCATCACCACCAGGCTTTATCCAAGTTTTTAATGCAATTTGGTTAGCATGGAAAGTAAATGTTTGATTTAAATTGTAATATAAAGCAGCAAGTTAGAGACTGATTGCAGAGCACAAATTCCATGTGTGGAAGAAGCAGGTACATATGTTTTGATAAAGGATATAAAAGAAACTGTCAATGGTGGTTATCACAGGAGGAGTGGAGAGATTTCACTTAATTTTCATCCCTCTGTACTTCCGAGGTTTATACCAAGAGCACATGGTTGCTTTGTTTGTTTTACTTACTAAACACATAAGCATGGAAAAGACTTCTGAGCTAGAGTGACAGTGGGTTGACTGAAGGAGACCTTCCTTCTTCCAATGTGTGGACATCACAGGGGCACAGACGGAAGACGACTAAATTGATGGGATGAGAGCAAAGCACTGTATCCCAGGAGTTAGAGGCTTCCATGAGAACACCAGGTAAGGTCTCAGGCAAGAAGCCAGATTTTTCTAGAAGCTCTCACATATGTATATATATATATATATGCTGTGGGATGTTTGTATGGCAAATGTGTTGCTCTGATTGGTTGGTAAATAAAACACTGATTGGCCATTGGCTAGGCAGGAAGTGTAGGTGGGACAAGGAGGAGAATAAAGCTGGGAAGTGGAAGGCTGAGTCAGAGAGACACTGCCAGCCGCCACCATGACAAACAGCATGTGAAGATACCGGTAAGCCACGAGCCATGTGGCAAGGTATAGATTTATAGAAATGGGTTAATTTAAGCTGTAAGAACAGTTAGCAAGAAGCCTGCCACGGCCATACAGTTTGTAACCAATATAAGTCTCTGTGTTTACTTGGTTGGGTCTGAGCGGCTGTGGGACTGCCGGGTGACAAAGATTTGTCCCGACTGTGGGCAAGGCAGGAAAACTCTAGCAACATATATATATATATATATCTTGTAAAATGGGGTTCATTATAATAGCTCTATTACTGCATACATCTATATAGGAACGGTAGTCTAAAAGATGCGGTGGCAAAACCAGTCTCCATGAAGCCGCACACTGTGAGGTGGAGGCTGACCTGACATGAAAGGGGACGAGCTGTCAGCTAATCCCAAGTGTGTAACCGATGCTGCATTGCCTTCTCAGATGCAGAGGGATGAGAGGTTAGAATGCATATGTCCCCATCATCTCCAAAATCCAATTCCATCCTCAGTACACTTCCTTTCCCTCTCTCCTTTCTTTCCCTTGAGGACTGATTCTCTTCTCACAGCACACCCTAAAAACTGTTCTTCAGAATCGCTCAGCTAAGGGAAAGGCACGAGAGGAAAGGAACACCAGTGAGTACTTGGGTGCCGTGCTAATGAAAGGGGCACAAAGGCAGCAGGAATGGGCAGAAGACAGAAGATAAGCAGACAGACAGACAGCCCTGGCAAGAGCAGAGCCAGTCGTCTTGGTGTGTCCCTAACCCACATCTCTGTAGCAGATACTTAGGACATTATCTCAGCCATGTTATCAAAAGGTCAATGGCTTTAAAAATCTAAGTCTGGGGGGCTGGAGAGATGGCTCAGAGGTTAAGAGCACTGCTTGTTCTTCCAAAGGTCCTGAGTTCAATGCCCAGCAACCACATGGTGGCTTACAACCATCTGTAATGAGATCTGGTGCCCTCTTCTGGCCTGCAGGGATATGTGCAGGCAGAAGACTGTATCCATAATAAATAAATAAATCTTTAAAAAAAAAAAAAAAAAATCTAAGTCTGTAAGCTTGAGATTCCCCTTGAGATGATGTGACTATTGTGTGCATTTAATATGTTGGCTGGACGTTTGTAGATTTGACAGTGTCTTAAAGACTGTTCACCGTCAATGTTTTGACTCATTGTGAAAGTTCTGTACACTTAGGATAGTAAAAGAGCAAATTGAAAAGAAAACAGAAAATGAGACTCGGTGATAAAATGTATGGAATGCCTGCAGAAGTGTTGGCATTAGGGATGACACCCCGACATTTGGTTTGTCTGGCTGACTCGACCTTTTCAGGCAGTCGGGGAATGTGACAGAAAGTCACTTTGGACTGTGTTACAGAGACAGGGTCTGGATTCTGCAATCTAGAATCCCTCCTTCCTTCTCCCTCCATTTTCCTTGTCTCCTCCCATTTCCTCTCAATGCACATGAATTTTAAAAAAAAAATTTGAACACTAGCATGTGGATTCATAAACAATACCACAATGCTCTATAAAAATAAGAAAAAAGTTACAGGAACTGAGAGCCTGACTGTACCTCATCAAAATGAAGTGTCCCATTCAAAGGACTGAGATCATCTTTGGCCTTCTCGTCTATAGCCCAATGAAGTAGGACAGCTCCTTTTCCTCCTGGGGACCGGACGACTGTCAATGTCACATATGAATCAGGGTCATCAGACAAAAGGGATTCATCAACCATTACCTACAAGAAATAAAATCCAGTAAAGCAAACACATTAAAAATAGAAATAATCTTATTTGTTTGTGATCATTGTAGTTTTGAATTTAAAATTCTATTCATGACATACTAACATGTAGGAGGGAAAAGGTTTCTCTCAAACCCATTTTCCTTTTCTATACATTAGGCTACTGGGTATTTCAAATTTCTCTTGAAATTAGGTGGAGCGAAGTGGCTGCATTGTCAACAGGTCACTGGTAGAAGTGATTGTAGCTGCTAGCACACTCAAACTTCCCCACAATCCTCCACCTCTGCTGTTTTCCCACTTGTAGGTGAATACAGAAGATGCCTCCAAGACCATTAAAATGCTAATAAGCAGAGAGAGGAATAATCTTATGCCTGGGGTGCCAGTTGAAGAAGAGGGGTCCATGGCAGTCAGAAAAATGGGCAAACTACTATAAAACTCTTGTATAAAGAGGCAAACACTAAAGATAAAGGAACTGAAATTTGGGGGCTCTTTATTACAGCATATAGATTTCCTAAGTAATAGGAATATCCAGGTATAGACTATCCTCTGAATGGTCAGTCGTTCACCAACTTTAGTGAATTGAAGTTTTTACTAAGCTGGTTGTCTCTATCAGAAGAGGAAATACTTAAAAAGCAATTTTGATTAGGGGGATGGAAGAGAGTCCAAATTAATAAAATGGTTTCAAACAATAGTTTCTCTCTCTCTCTCTCTCTCTCTCTCTCTCTCTCTCTCTCTCTCTCTCTCTCTCTCTCTTCGTTCTTTAGGTTTTTTGAGTGTATGATGTGTGTGGTGTGTGTGTATGTGCATTGCTGTGTGTGAAAGCAGGTGTACATGTCCCACTATGTATGTATGGCTGCCAGAGTTCAACCTTGAGCACTGGTCCTTGCCTTCCACCTTGCTTGAGACAGGGTCTCTTCATTGTTTTGCCACTGCATACACTAGGCTAGCTAACCAACAAACTTCCAGGGATTCTTCTGCACCTCCCACTTCTCCATATATGGTGATTTGAGTGAGAATGGCCCCTATAGGCTCACATATTTGAAAATCTGGTCCCTAGTTGGTAGAACTGTTTGGGGAAGGATTAGGAGGTGTGGCCTTTTCAGAGAAGATGTGTCACTGGAGGTGGACTTTGAGGTTTCAAAAGCTCATGCCAGGTCCAGTCTCTATCTCTCTATTTCCAGCTTGTGTATTAGACATAAGCTCTCAGCTACTGCTCCAGCACCATGCCTGCCTGCCTGCTACCACACTACCAACCATGATGACTGTGTACTCATCCTCTGAAACTGTAATCAAGCCCCCAACTAAATGCTTTCTTTTCTAAGTTTCCTTGGTCATGGAGCCTCTCGTCAGCAACAGAAAAATAACTAAGACACCATAAGAGTATCGGGATTACAGATATTCCTACTTCAGGTGTAACTTTCATGTAGGCTCTTGGCATTTGAATTCAGATGCTCCCAAAGACTTCTCTCCTGAGCCACCTTATTACTGGAAACTCACTACATTAATTTACCAGCAGTAGCACTTCTTATTCTGAAGTCCTTATTAAAAGATCTGGTATGAGTTAATTATGCATGTTCACTTTAGGCAGCAAAGGCCAAGTGTAGTGTATAAAGCTCAGCTATGTAGATGTGAAATGTAACACAATGCTTTCCATTTTGAACACAGAAACTTACCAAACACAGTACAATCTTGTTTTTATGTTTGTTTGTTCACTAGGCTCAATGTTAGAATCAAGAACAGAGATTTGGAAATAACTGGTATTTATTGAGCTTTTATTGTGATATTTGTGTGTGTTGTGTGTTTTGTGTTGTGTTAATTTTTGCACAGTTTATTTTATTTAAGCCCCAGAGAACTCTTAGAAATTTGAAGATCAGTCGGGCAGTGGTGTCTCACACATTTAATCCCAGCAGAGGCAGGCAGATCTCAGTGGGTTCGAGGACGGCCTGGTCTACAAAGCGAGTTTCAGGACAGCCAGGGCTGTTACACAGTGAAACCCTGTCTCAAAAAGCCAAGGAGAGAGAGAGAGAGAGAAAGAGAGAGAGAGAGAGAGAGAGAGAGAGAGAGAGAGAGAGAGAGAGAGAGAGAGAGAAGTTTGAAGATCAGATATGTATACATATTTGGGTAAAACAAGACTCAAATCTAATTCAAGTGTTTTGACTCCACACCAAATATTGTTCATGCCACTCTTTAGGCACAAAAAATATTTTCTAATAAAGAAAGAAGGAATCAATTATAAACAACCTGTAGGCATATTTTCTGCTTAGCTTGGAATATGCATAGATATCCACATGTCTATATTCTTACACATTGCCCTTGTGAGCATTTTATTTTGATGGGTTTACATTAATAATCTTTTTTCAATGTTTTTCAGTTTTCTTTTTAATCTGTCACCAACTAATACTATTCATTGTGTACAGTACTGCATGTTTCACAAGGATGTTAGAAAGTAGGGTACTTTGTGGTAAGAAAGGATATAATAAAAACAAATGTACAGGGTTGAGTGACAATTAGTACTAAGTCTACCAAGAGTAAAAATGTCACCTGCACTTACTAAAAGCAAACCCTAAATGTGAGTGCTCTACACGCATCAACTCATTTATTCCTTGTAGTTGTTATGAGAAAACTTACATTAGGACCTGGGTGTCTAATCTTACTTTTAAAGTAAGACAAATAGTAACTTGAGGCTAGTAGATTAATTCTCCAATCATGCTTAAGTTAGGTTTAGAGCACTGATGTTAATAAAAGCAATTAAGATAAACCGAATGCCCAAACTCAAAGAGTCTTCACCAACTGAGGAACTGAACATTAAACCATGAAATTATTTTTATCCAGCTAATTTTCCATAAAAGGAGGGGTGGCTTACAAATACAGATTTCAATGTCCAAGTTCAAGTATGATAATGTTACAAGCAAAAGTATTTTTATAAGTTTTCACAAATTGAATAGTTGAGCAGTTAGCCCTGTTCAAATTTGAAAAATTAAATTACATACTTATGTGTACTAAAATATTCCAAAATATTATTATATATATGTCAATATTCTAAGAAATGCTAAGTGATTAGAATTATTACAAAATAATAATGATGTTTATCTCATGATACAAGTTTATAAAAACACCTTTCCTATACATTTCCTATCCCCTAGACATTAGTTTATTACAAGTCACTCAAAGATTTCTACTTGATTCTTTCTCCAGGCAAAAAAATGTTTTACTTGGTTATAGCAAAATTGTACTCTTAAAAGTCCCAATTTCTTGTGAAATTGTAATTACACTGACAAAATCATTAGGTAACATTTAGGCTGTATTTAAACTTTCAAGTATCTGAAAAACTGAGATCTCTTAGACAATTTGGAAAGTTTTAGTCCTCTGGACACAGAATAGTAAAGATGGGAGCATTTGAGCAGCTAAAGATTACTCATGATGAATTACTGACTATACAGTAGATAAGAGTGAATGGTGACACACTGAGCCAGAAATGTTTCTGAGTAAATATGAACTACCTAAGGATATTTACGATTATTTCATCCTGGAGTTGTCTTTAAGAGATAAAGTCATAATAATTATATATCACTACCACAAATGATTGTTATGATAGAGATTATCCTACATTATATTTAAGAGAATGATAACATAAAAACTGCCATCAAACAGAAAGAGCTACATAAACATTTCATGCTTGCAATTGGTTAAGCTTTTTATCTCCACTCAAGGGCTAAATCTATGACAAGTGAATTTCTTCTTTCACATCTTGGAAGAAAACAGATAGTGAACAGCAAGAGGAAAAAGCTTGTTTATCAAAGCTTGGAGCAGAGAATATAATCCAATATTTTGTTCAATATAATCCAAGGTAAAACTCTAGCCCAGTGAATGTTTAGGACTAAGACTCACCAACTCACCCCATCCTAAACTGCAACCTGAGGCCAGTGATGAAAGCCCTCTCAACAAGGACAGGATACCAGCAGTAAAGCAAACAGAATGGAAGACACGGATGAGAAGCCCATCTTGGTCTACCATACACAATAAAAATGAATCTGTTGTTTTCTGTCACAATCACCTGATGTGACAGACTCTCAATGTATCTCAGTGTTTCCTACGGCAACAGCCTACTCAAAAGACTGATCTTGAAGAGAGACTCACTAAGTGAAGGGTAATGAAAAGCTTCAAAACAAAGATTAAAGATACTTTTTACTGAAAACTACATGAAAACCCGAGGAAAGCAGTCCCCTGATATATTTAACTTACAGTCTTCTCTTCAAATCCAAATATTCCAAATGGAGAATCATTTGGGGGTATGACAACAGTCACTACAACATCGTCACCTAGTCTGCCACCACCAGCCACACTCATCAAGCAGATGCTGAATGTCTCCGTGAGTTCAAATTCACCATCATCAATTATAGTTATTTCTATCAGTGCAGTGACCTATGAAACACAAAGGGGAGGGAAGGGGAGGAAGAATTAGAGGAAGGGAAAGATATATAATGTAATAACAATGTTTCCTCATATATATATTTTAATTATTTTAGTTGAATAAAACAAAACACAGTAGAAAAGAAAAAACAGGGTTTTGCTTATTATATCCATAATACACGTAAAATGATATATATAGTTCTTCAAAGTTAGAAATTTAGATCTATTATTTTCAAGATAAATTACATATTTAATAAAAAATAAACTATTTTATTAGTGATATAACAGGTAATGGATTCTTGAACAAAAGTTTCTAAATGGTATGCAATTTCTAACAACCACCACACAGGCATAAAACCCAGTGTGCTTGATATTAATTTTGCATGATAGGAAATAGGACCATAAAGCAATCCCTGTGTGTAGGAGACAGTTCAGTGATGGGGAACACAGACTGCTCTTGGAGGGAGTCCACGTTGGCTTCCAGCACCCAAGTCAGGTGGTTCACAGTCACCTGTAACTCCAGGGCATCTGATGCCCTAATCTGGCTTCCTCAGGAACCTCAGACACACGCACAAACCCACAACACAGTCATGCACTTCATTAAAATAAAAACAAATCTTTTTGAAACATTATCACTGACTGTCTCAATCAAACTTAAAAGAAGATAAGAGATGATTAAAAAATGTGCTGTTTTGGATGATTGTGATCAGGATTTATAATCAGACTCATCAGGGCCTATGATAAACATTTTTATGAATATAAATAAACCTGTTCCAGCTTGCGATTTCACACGTGCTCCTAAGAACACCCTGGCTCCATCATCACATTAACATCTTCGTCTGTAGCCTGCAGGTATGGTACAGTACTTGGATACATTGATCATGAAAGAAATTGTTTTCTATCTACAACATTTAACAATGGGGGAAAGCAAGAAGTCAGGATATCACACTCAGACAAGCAGAAACCCAGATATAACAGCTTGTCACAGAATCCACACTTCAAATCTGTACCATACAACACAAACTATCTCCCTCCCAAGTCAGGAAGTTTAGAAAACACAGTAATACAAAGAATGCTAGTAAATGATGGGACTTCAGGTTCACGCGTGGAACAAAATGCCAGGAGTCCAGCTGCTTCAGTGAAAAGCCAATTTTGTTGCTACTGCTTTAACATAAACATTCCCAACTACCTGTGGTGCCCTCAACCCACGCTTAGTAGAAAACATTTAAAAGTTCTAACTGTACTAATCGTTAACCATATCGGTCTGTGTGTGGGGGAAGTTTGCCTTTGTGTGTATCCTTTAGCGTTACAGAGCTGCTGGGGACCACTGAGGAACCGGTACAGGCTATGTAACTCTGTACAGGCAAATTCGGGCTAACTGTGGGTAGATTCTGCTGTCTTAAGTTACAAGCATGCATGCGATCCACACGCTTTTCTGTTCACTGATTAAGAATGTGTGCTGCAGAAATGGCTCCGGGGGCACAGCGCTTGCTATGCAACCGTGACGTCCTGAGTTTGGATCTCCAGAACTCAGGTAAAGCCAGTTACAGCAGCATGCACCTGGAATCCAAGCACTCCCAAGGCACTCGGTGGCAGAGAACCGAGAATCCACAGAATCTCACAGGCCAGTCAGTTTGCCATATGTAGTAAATGAAGAGATTCTGTCTCAAACAAGATGAAAGGTGAACACAAACACGTGAAGTTGTCCTCTGACTTACACACACATTCCGTGGCACACACTTGCCTGCACGCAGGCGCACACACGCGCACACACACACACACACACACACACACACATACACACACACATGCACATGCACACACACACACACACACACACACACATGCACACATACATGCATGCACACACAAATTTTAAAAATTTATAAAACTGTTCTATTCGTACTTATTACAAGGGATACAGCTTAAAGTATTCAGCATTTTTAACCACAAAAAAATATAAATTAAAACTACTTTGAGGTTTCATCTTACTACAATCAGAATGACTATAATAACAAAAGCAAATAACAATAAACACTGGTGAGGATGTGGGAAAGAGGAACCCGTGTATACGGTTTGCAAGTGTGTTAGCTGGTTTACATACTATAGAAATCAGTGTAGAGATTCTTCAAAAAGCTAGAAAGAGCTCTACCATATGACCCAGCTATACTAATCCTGAGAATACACCTCAAAGGCTCTGTCTATACTGTGCTACAGAGTTACTCATATATCCATATTCACTGTTGTTCTATTCACAAGAGCCAGGAAATAGAACCTGCCTAGATATCTATCAATGATGAAGAGTGGAGCTGTATAACACAAACATGATGGAATTTTATTCATTGACAAAAACTGGGATTCTAAAACTTGTAGGAAAAATGGAACTAAAAATGTACTGGTGAGATTGCCCAGGCCCAGAAAGATGAACTCTGCATATTCTCTGTCATGTGTGGGATCTTGGTTTCAAATTCTCAGAGCAGTGTGTTTAACCTGTAGCGCCTATCGTAGAAGGCAGGGAGACAGAGAGGAATGACTAAAGAGGGGATGTGACGCGAAGGAGAAGGGAACACATGGACTGTCAGGCTGGGGAGACTGGGCTGTGGAGGTTTAAGAGTGGAGAGGCATGGGGTGCAAAGAGAAGGTGTACGAGGGAGGAGCAACCCAAGCCAGAACATACGGGAAAACACTGGAAACCCACTGTTTCGTAAGCTTCTTAGATGATGTAACATTTTAAGAAGAATTTGAATTGAGATATCCAGTATGGGTGCACAATGTGCCTCCCTGAAGTCACCAAAGGTTATTAAAAATTCCAGGACCAGGTGTGGGCTATCTCCCTTCAAGGTGTCGGCTAGGGAGGTCCCTAAAACAATACAACCTATTGTCATTGTTACTGATTGCCCGCCCGGACTTGGTGGTACGAACTTCTCATTGAAGAGGCCAGCCACACACCGTAGATACAGAACAGAGAAATCAAGGCGCCACTAAGCAGGAAATCCCTGCCCTCCGGCTGGCTTTCACAGCACCAGAGGTGCCATGCAGAGCACTTGGGAAGAAGAGCTGTCCACAGCCCTGCCCTGAGGGAAGCCTCGCCAGCTGCAGAGCTGACCCACCGTACTGATCTATGAAACAGTGCCATGACTATGACAGAACCAACCAACTGCCTCCTGATCAGACTTCAGGCACGTTCCCAGGGGAAAGCCATGCCTGGTGGTGTACAGCTGTTCGAGAGCCTGGAGCTGTGGCCCGTGAGTAGGAGAACCTATGACTATTATTTGCTAAAGAGACATGTCAAACTGCCTCCTAAGTACTCATGTGTACACCCAGGGGTTCCTCTGCTCTCACCCTTCCACAAGAAGCTTCTTACAGCGGCAGGTAGCAGCCAGTCAGGGACTCAGGACTGCTCAGAACAACAAGAACAGATGCTAATAGAGGGTGTGGCTCTATAGAGAGCAGAAACATCACCTCCTCTAAGGTCAGGGAGCATGCCGGAAGAGGAGAAGGACGGCTTCCACAGAACGATGCTGGACATGGCGTGGCTATTACACTCATAACTCCCTAAAATGGGGCTGTGTGCACAAGACTAGGCAGTGAGCATTTCCTCAGGGATGGGAGAGGGCCCTTAAAGTCCGACCCTCCCTGAGGCACTGGAGGGAATGAGTGGTTTCTTTGGCGGTGTAGCCAATGACAAGTAGCCCATGCTCCAGGACATAACCTCCCCCCGACGCTCACGCAAGCCACCGAAGTAAACTCGGTGGTCACACACAGGAAAAGACACGAAAGTAGTAGTGGGACTCGGGGAGGAGGAAAGGTTTCAGTGGAGGGGGAGGGGTGACTAATGAGAATTATGTAATTAATGTAACTAATTCACTATATAAATCTGCAACTGTTCAGATCTTAAATCAAAAGCAAATAAATAGGAAATAATATCAGTTTATGAATACTAAGAAATAAAACAAATAAAGGACCTAAAACAGACCAGTGCATCAGACATTAATATATATATATATGTATATGTATATGTATATGTATATGTATATGTATATGTATATGTATATTGGTTTTTGTGACAGGGTATCTCTGTATAGCTTTGGTAGCTGTCCTGGAACTCACTCTGTAGACGAGGCCTGCCTCTGCCTCCCAAGTGCTGGGATTAAAGGCGTACACCACCACCACCTGACTTAAAAAATATTTTTTGTTAAGAACTTGTAGTCAATAATAATCGACTTCTATTGATGTCCTACTACATAGCTTCTATTTCAAATGGCAGAGAAGTTCAAAAAGATGTGGGGTTCTTGTCTCTTAGAATTCTCTCTCTGTAGGAGGCAGAAAGACTGTCAGAGGCAGAGATTATGATGACTTCATGGAGACAGTGTCTTCCAGACACAACAGGACTGATGCGCATATGAACTCACAGAGATTGTGGCAGCATGCGCAGGTCCTGCAGAGATCTAAACCAGATGGGGTTCCAGAGCTGAAAGGGAGAAGTGGACACAGGCCCCTACCCCTATCCAAGAAGTCATCTGCTGGTAAAGGAAAAAATAGTTTTCTCCAATGAAATCCTACAGGGTATATTTTCCACACTTCAGAGTAGGCCCCATGCCATTGAGAGGTTGTACAACACAAAACAGACTCAGTGGTACTTTTATAAACTTTTTGTCTCATTATGCTTAAGGCATTTTTGTCATACTTTTTGTCATCTTTTGCTTGTATACTTTGGTTCCCATTTTGTGTTTTTGTGTGTGTTTCTTGCTTTTTGTTTTTGGTTGTTTTTTAAAGAGAGAAAGAGTGTGGAGTTGAGTGAGGCAGGGAGGATCTGGGAGACATTGGAGAAGGGGGAAATGTGATTAGAATATATTGCATGCATTTTTCATTAAAATCTATAAAAACGAATTTTCTTCCTATGATTACTAATACACTATACAGTAATTAATAATAATTGAACTTCACTTGATAAAGAAACAGACTAGAATGCACTTAGCAGTCACTAATGCATCTTTAGGTGGTAGATGCTCACAAACACTTAAAGCAGAGCCAAAAACAGCAATAAGTCTGTTCATAATGAACATACTTGTCCATCAGCAAATTGGAGAGTCCCATGAGATGGCTGAAAGTCTTCCAGGCCGGCACTGTCTGGTGTTGCTTTCCAATAAACATGTACTGTCTCAAAGCTTCCAGCCAGCCGGATGACAGGAACTTGAAGAATGTTCAAGGGAGGAGACAGCTCATGAGCAGAAATCACTCCACCATCATCCTTCAAAAAGAAGAGATGTTGAGAGGCAGGCCAAAGCTCAGAACTCTCCTGAGCAACAACTTGTTGAATTTATTATTCTCACGTGTGTAAGAAGTGCCTAGAACTAAGAGCAAAATGTAATAGAAAAAAAAAAGTGTTTGATTCTGTGATTGGTTTAGAGAACTAAAAATCATTCATCAGACAAATTGAATATTTATCTTTGTATATATGTCTACAAAGAAATCCAATTACTTTGCAAAAAGAAAAAATGTAAAGGCACTAGCCAAATCAGCAAGGATCAGCCTTACTTATATTAATATAAATATGAAAAATTTCATCTCACTCTGGTAACGTGAAACTTGAAAATCCCTCTGGGATCATCATTTTCTTCGATCATTATCTCCGCTATTTCCATCCTTGGCCTCCGCACACGTGGCTGCTCTGCAGGGAAGTCAGGGTTCACCAGGCTCACCGCGGTGATGGTAACAATGAGTCCTTCCTCGAGTTCCGGAGCCTCATCCTGGGAGGTGGGGAGAGAGATGTTTTATTCAGTTGTTTGGCTCCTGAGATGATGCCTAGCAATTTTACCCAGGGCTGGTCTCAAACATGTAGGCCTGGGTGACCCTGCTGCAGTCTCTTTAGCAGCTGGAGCTGCAGACATCTTCCTCCAGACCCAACTGATATTTTTAAACAATATTCCCTTTACATTGTAAACCTGATATTTTTCAGTAAACAACTAACTTACTATACAGGCATGATGCCTCTGCAACATAAAAATGATTTCTTGTCAATATTTTAGTACAGCCAACACATTCTCAGGACATCCTCAGAATCTACGATATGCTCGAGACTAATGATGATCTTTCCAAGGCACCCACAACTGCATTAGACAATGTTAAAAAACCTGTCCCACAATTTCGACCTCACTCTATTGACTATATCACACATATACAACATCCTGAAATAAATGTAGGAAAATTTGATAAATTTTACATGTATTTTAAAAGTGGAAGCTCTAGATATAAATCTAGGTGTAAGGAAATACTACAGTTAATTTTGAAAAATTACTTAATTTGTGTGAAAGTAATAAACAATATATGAAGATGTAGAAGCAACATACAGAAAAATAAAAGAAAGTCTCCACCCTCCCTACTCTCTTCCTCCTTACGTGCCTTTCCTACTGTCCTCATCACATGACAGGTAACTCACAATCACCAAAACTTCTAACGGGAATACAAATATCACTGCATCTACTGAACGGCATCTGATGTGTTTACAGTGTCTAATATATACTTTATTAACCTCACACGTTATTATTTATAAATGTACTACTTAAACACGTGGTGGCATTGCATGTCAAGCCCAGGCAGGGCCTTATGTATGCTAAGCAGGCAATTTAGCTCTGAGCCGAATCCCCAGTCCTTATCACTATATGCTACAACAACGCTATGAGACACTAAGAGCAGTACTAGCATCTCTGATTCTTGTGCACTACTTCAGGTGTGTCTGCCTGTGTGGTCCCTCTGTGTCTCTGTATCGCTAGCTTCCTTTCCTCCTCACACAGAGAAAGGGCAAGGTGATGAGAGGTAGCCAGCAAATGTTAGACCTAAGTCATCTAAATGCTCATCTTATTGAAAGCATTGCATCATGAAGTGAAAATTCTCTCCTTGCAAGCCAACAATAAAAATAACTAGACTGACTTGGAGATTTAATTCATCCCATTATTAAAGCAGTTAACCAATTATCTTTGTAGTGTGGCCAACAAATCAGACACATAAATCACTCTCACTCTAAAACAAATACAATAAATACACTATCATTTTTCCATCTGATAATAAAATATTTTAGCGGAATTTTTAACTACTGAATTACAGTTTTATGGTTAAAAGCATCCTAGCTAATCTCATATTTATTATAATCTATACTTACTGGCAAAATGGCAACTTCAGCATAAGTTTCTTTTATGTTTTCTTTCATTATTATTACTGCATCTTGCAACACATAATCTTCATTCTCAGTAGCTTGATTATTGATGTGCAGTAAGAAATTGGGTTTCGCTATCAAATGAATGGAAATGTCCCCAAATAGTCCTTTGTCTCGAACAATGTGTAACTGAAGAACAGTGATGTTCTCTAGGAGATAAACGTGCCTCAGGTTAATGAGCTGTTCTGTGTTCTGCAAGCAGTCATGGTGGAATGTGGTCTCTAGACAGTTAAGGAGGCAGAGATAGCACAAGGACCGCATCCTATGGAGTTTTCTGTGTTTTGTCTCCTTTTTTCCCAAAGTCATGCTCAAAATCGTCATCCACTCTTGCATGAATCTACTTTAGTCCCTCTGTCCCTACAATGTAGCCTGCCATGCTTTCCATGTCATGCACCTGAAGTAAGTCTGATGGGACCTTACAGAAGTGGACATACAGAAGCACAACAGAGGTGAAACCTGCCAAGTCCTCAGAAACTTCTTAAAAATGAGTACTTAAATACACAGTCACAAATTAATACTAATCATTAGAAGAGTGATTTATCATTTCTATAGTGAGGTGTCAATGACAGGGTTCAAAGTGTCTCCTAGAACCTATTATTTTTTCATTCTTTAGTTTAAAATAATTTGTTATATAAGACAGTAAAAATGTTTATTAATATCCTCACCAGTCTAAGAGATTCTAATGATTGTGTTTATTATCAAAAGGAACAATGTAATTCCTACAAATTACTATGTTTTAAAAATGTTTATTTGGCTGGGAGGTGGTGGCACATGCCTTTAATCCCAGCACTCAGGAGGCAAAGTCAGGCGATTCTCTGTAAGTTCAAGGCCAGCCTGTTCTACAGAGCGAGAGCCAGGACAGGAACCAAAACTACACAGAGAAACCCTGTCTTGAAAAAACAACAAAAAAATGTTTATTGAATGAGACTGAGCACATTATTTTATTAAAGTCTATTGTTTTGGGTCTTGTGCATACAGTGAGACAAGGTCCCAGGAATATTACTACATACCACTTTTCCCATGAGCTCTGTGATTAAAGGGAATCTGAAATCTGTTTGCACATATTTTTATCTGAAAATTTTCAAGCCATTTTGTAAATTCATTCTAAATACACATTATATATAACCTTTTATTTCAATAGGTTGATTGATCATAACCTATTAGAATGTTTATTCAACAAGGGATATGAGTAGTTATTTACATAAACATTTCAGCACTCTAAGGAGGTAAGGACTGGCCACAGTACACACCACAGGGTGAAATCACTGTAATTACTGTTTGGGGTAATGTAATTAACACCTCAGCACCAAGTCTACCCCACAATGTAGCTGACTATTCCCTACATCTACTAAAAATACAGGAAATTCGAGTGTGGAATAAGAACACGTAAAGAAACTATAGAAGGGAAAGTAAAATCCAATCCCTGCTACTAATGCAGCTTAAAATTAACATTTCTATTATAAAAGCATGCTCTAAGAAATTAAAAACACTTTAGTAAACATTACTGCAAAGTGACTCATAATTATAAAATTTAAAATAAATTAAAAGGAATATAAACTATAAAACTAAAAAAGTCATATAAAAAGAAATTCACATTCCTTTCAAATATTATAATCAAATTGTCCAAGGAAACTTTTTATTAGAACTTAAGCAGTCTTACTTAAGTCTTGCTTAAGTTTGCCAGGACTTACCTGTGGGCTCTGGCACTCTGGTGAAAAGAGAATCAGTATGCCAGCCAACCACGCCATAGGGCGAGTCACTGGGCAGGATGGTTAGCATGGACTTGCTTCTGTTCTCATCAACAGTAGCAGCTTTTGATGGATCTTCAACCCCTTCTGTGATAATCTGAGTGAGTGTCACAATCACGACCTCAGATAACTCCGGCAGATCATCCGCAAGAAGAGTCAGAGTAATTGTAGACAGCGCCTGGTCCTCTGTGAATGAAATCTGAAAGTAAAATTTTAAAAAGACAGTTTTGCTTACATTGGGATTAACATTATGTCATAAAACATGTCAATTTCTTATTTTCTTTTAATAGGACCACAATTTATAAACCAAAGATGATTCTACAACATAATATGATTTTACAAACAAATCAACTGTCTTTTATATTAAAACTAGAGGATTGTTTGAAAAAAAGTAAAACCTTTCAAAAATGAGTTAATACTTGTAGCCAAATTGTCATGTCTTGGTGCCTACTTTCCATTATAATACAAAGGACAGAGTCTCTCAGGAACTGCAGTGATTGGTAGTATATGTAAATCTCTAGAAAATGAAAGTGGTTCAGCAGTTTCAATGTTTTTATCTACAAAGCTGTTGCAGTAATTGATACTGCAGATGGTGGTATCATTTAGCGGTAAATATTGATTCAAAAGAGAAGAAAAAGGCAACAGAGATGCAGGCCACACGCTCCCTCTTTCCTTTCTGCCTCCATTGTCTGATGTCAAATTCAAATTGCTGACAGCATCTGAGGTCCTTGCTGACAGGGATCTGCCCACTGCTTGGATAATATTCCTACATCATTCATCCTAATATCCACTTCCAAACCAATTATTCAAACTGTCATCGCAGGCTGAGGCCTCTACCTCTCCTGTGAGCCAAACCTGGTTTACATAAATGAAGTTTTATTGAGATGCAGCCAAACAGACTTGATTGAACACAGTCACTACCTATAATAACTGCTCTATAGCACCTGGCACAATTGTGCTACAAAAGCATAGTTATTTTTTTTTTTAAAAAAAAAAAAAGAACAAACAGTACATAAAATCTGAAGCATTTACTATATGACCCTTACAAAAAATATCTACTGATTCCTACACTACATAAAAATAATTATTTCAAAAACAATGTCAAGGAAACAGGTCATTAAAAATTTTAAATCTTAATCATATTCATATAATAAACTAGAGAAATATAATTCAATGCATACAGAAACAGAGATACAACTAGTGGTTTTGGTAATTTGCATAGAATTAAGTGTTAAACACAAGAGAATGCTAAGACATCCTTAACACATTGAAGTGTCTATCACCTTTGAAATGGTGAACCTAAAAATGCTAAACTGTTACACACATTTTTTTCCAAGAGATAATTTCATGAAAGCCCCTTTAATAATTCTCCAGAGAAACATTTGGGCAAAATACTGACCTATGACATCCCAGAAACACATGAGGTCACCCTTCCCACAAATAGATAACAAAAGGCTCCTTAAACCCTCTCTGAGTCAACCATCCCTTTGGTCATTCTGATTACAGATTTGAAACAGAGCATCAATTTTAGGCTAATCTGAGAGATGAATGATGTGATCCTCAGCCCAGACCCTTCTTGTGGCTGTCAATCCTTAGCTTTAGCAAATGTTCTCAATGAGGCCCACCTAGAGGCACCCTAGGACTAATAACTACTGAAAGGAGGGATGCCAATGGATCAGGCCTGAACTTGGGATGGCAGCCAAGGACCAGCTTAGACACAGGACTCTTCCCCAGAATCTACCTCCACTGGAACTGCAATTGCCTGTGGATCTGTTGGGAGCATATCACGAAGGTCCTTGTGCCCAAAGATCTCCAGAGAAACCAGGAATGTTAAACATACAGGATGTCTTTCCAATGGGAAAGATGAAAAAACCTGTTCTTCCATCCAGAAAGCTGAGAATTAGAAATGATTAACTGCCTGGTGATCTGTGTTATCTGTTGGGCCAGGCCATATCAAGCTCTTACAACCAAGACCTGAGTAATCTAAATGACCTCTGATAGCCAGAGGCGCCCCAAAGCTCCCACAACCAGGACCAGAGGTGGCCAATAGCCCAAATGACACTATCTATATAACTGAAACCAGGCCAGACCCTTAGGCCTCTAAGCTAGGACAGCCAGTGTATCTCTAGAACCCCATCTTCTTGGAGGAAGTATTTCTTTTATGGAAAAAAATAACAAAGCTAGCCTTAAATTGTATCCCACTATGGAGGTTAGCAGGAAGCCAGTGTTTACACAGTCAAACTCAAATATTCCTTCCAACAGGCAGGATTTGATCCCATGCATCAGTGAATGATAATCATAATTTATAAGTGTCTTCTATAATTCTGTAAATCACATACCACTCCTGAGGTAGGAAATATATCACTGGTACTTCCAGCTGCTTCCCATGCTACAGTTATGCGACCATGCGTTCCTTTCAAGCGTTCAACATTCAAGGTTACCAGACTATCTCGCTCCATTTCTTCCACTTGTTTATGCAATGAATTCTGAAAGATACACAGAAAGGCACAAGATGTTCCTTGAAATACCGAAGCAATCTCTTCTTTGTTTTGCATTACTACATATCTGCAAAGTTCATGACTCTGAGCAACATGAAATGGTAAGTGAAACATAACAGTTATGAACAGTGATGTAGTATAAGGTGTTGTGCTAAGGCCTATATTGTCCAGAGGGCAGGAAGACAACAAGTTGGAGTCTGGCCCAGACTATATAGTGCAACTGTCTCTACAAGTAAGTACATAAGCAACCTAAAGCCACAAGAAACCATTCACCTTATTGCATTGATTTTATGTTTGTCTTCCTGACGTATTTTGCTCAGTGGGCATATGTTACTTTTATACCTAGCACACATTTCTTTTTAAAGCAATGCACACAGCACTGAAAAGTCTGTAGAATAACAAGAACACGAACTGGAATGGCAGGGAAATTCTTTGCCTCTGCGTAAAGGCCCTTCAGGTCTCCCTCTCCTATTAGCAAATTAAGAGTTAGCCCCAGAAGTCTCCAGAGCCCCACCCAATGCCAACCACATCGTGAGAACCAAGACACTCTTCTCTGATCACTTGCTAATGTATCTTACACTTAAATCCATGTCCTGTGAATTTTTCAGTTAGCTGACCTATTTCTTTTGATGATACTTTATTCTTTAGCTCGTGGTCTGTGCAACTGTTCTTCCTGCCAGAAAAAAAAAAAAAAAACAACCCCTTTGTGCTCTGTCATAATCCTTTCTTCCCACCCATCCTTCCTAGTCGTGTTTCTTTGTTTTGATTCTAATGTCCACCACGCTGTATCACTCTACCAAACACATGCAGCACCTCACACTAGCTTTTTAAAGAACTTTTCCTCAGAAGGATACTTTCACATACATCAACCTTTAGGCATCATGACATGAACTTATCATCTACGAGTCCATGTTTAAGAATCATACAATTGTGCTAGCTAAAAAACTCTCATAATGTTTTAAGTAAGTTTATGATTTTTTGCATCCAGCCACATTCACAGCTAGTGACATGCAGCCCTAGGTTGGACACAGATCCCTTCTTAGAGCATCCTCGATTTCTCAATAAGGCATAAATACTGAGAATAAAGATGCTTTTTAAAAAAAAATCTTTCCCGTAGGGTTTCCCATGTATTTTTAACAATGACCATCTGAAGAGACACCTCCTTAATGCTTATGGAAATGTTAAGTTGAATAAAGATCCAACAGAAGAGGATATTTCATACAGCTGTTCAGTGTTGTTACACATGTTTCAGGCTAACAAAATTGTGCTCAAGGTGATCAAATACTCACTAAACATCAGATTTTAAAATATGCACATAATTTACTCAGGAAAGACAAGCGTTTCCTTGGCTCCATGGTTTTCATTACTGATGGTTAATAAGATGAGGCCTCCATACAGCCAGAAGATGTACCAGAAATTCTACTAAGCCTCTTCTAAAAGGCGGCTGTCCAGATGCAGGTGACCTGAACTGAGGGACTCTGCTGGGGAATTCTACTGAAGGACTAGCAGGAACTCCAGACCTTGTCCACAGGCAAGGATGAAGCCACAGGGGTTTTATCTATCTAGACAAGCTTCCTGAAGAGAGACTCTGAGTGAGAGGGTGGAAGGAGCCTATGGAGTCTGTCACCTCTCAGCTTCTCAGCTCATTCCCCCCAGCTTTTCCCATCATAGTTTTCGGGAGCACGGAGAAGCCCCTGTGAGTATTATCTTCACTCCTGCAGGATGGCAGGCTCTACCTAGTGGTGCAGCTGTAAACATGGAAGCCTCCAGCTCATGTACCTTACAACTTTAATGAAAAGAAATAGATAAATGACCCAACCCTTAGTGTCCTTAAGAAGAAAAGGCAGGACATGAAAGTTCAGACTGTGGGCACCAGTTGTCAACCTCACAAGCCCTTTCTGCTAAGGTGTCATTTGGAGAGAGGCCTGGAGAAGTTAATGAAAATGTAAGCATCTTGTACAGAGGGGTTCTATTCCTGGATCTCCCCTTACATACAATACAAATCTTAAAAGTTGACCTATACTACATGGGACCCCTGTTCACAGTGACCACTGAGTGCTTGAGATTAGCTCATTTCTAAATACAAAATGTATACTGCAATTTAAAGACAAAGAGTAAAAAAATGTAAAAATATTTCAGCAATGCTCTTTTATACTTGTTGAAATCATAGCATTGTGGATATACTGGGTTAAATAAAGCATACTACTTAAACTGGCTTTCCTTTCTTCTTTCTCTGTTCAGAAATGTGTCTACTAGGAAACAAGACTATAAAACTATTCTTATGCTCACATTCTATTTCTATTCAGCCTTTGTCAAGGTTTTTCCATTTGTTCCAGGGAAGGGCCAGATTGGGCAACAGTGTGATCTGCCCCCTACAGGCAGATGAGGATAATGCATGCACAAACATCATCTCCTAAACCAGCTTTTCATACAGCTGTCCCTAAGGAAGTGAAGGGTAAATTTATGCTCACAGATCCATCAAGTGATAATTACCGAATTGTCACAATGGCCTCTGATCAATATCACTTTCCACTTAGAATATGTTCACAATACAATAGCTAGAGTGATCCTTTTCAAAGGCAAGTCATGGACTGGAATGCCATGCCACTTAACACCTCTAAATTCGCTGCTGCCACTGAGTGGCTTGTCCAGGTGCTAACAGAGCAGGTCTGACTCTAGCCTAAAGAGCAAAGCTCACACGGCTGACCATCAGCTGTTACCTGAGAATGTGGTTTTCAAGAGGTCTCTTCCATTCCCTGACCCGGTGAGTGGTTCCTATGTATAAATAGTTTATACAAATAATATGGTTTACGCTGGCATCAGTTCTCCTTCTGGGATCTAAAGTTTTGACGTGTGTAAGGTGGAGGATGACCACTGGCCAGCTTGCAATGAGAACCCTGGCTTTGAGCCTGTCCTAAGGTTCTCTGAGTGGCCAAATTCTCCAAGTGTTGCAACAACACAACTCAGTGCTAGAGAAATTTGGCTCGGAACATTCTGTATGACTCCATGGATAATTAATTCTTGGAATATTACCCCTAGTTTCTTCTGGGATTTCCTCAAGACTATTTTCCATGTGTGTGTGTGTGTATGTGTGTGTGTATACATATGTGTGTATTTATAAATATTTTTACATATATCATATATAGTGTATGTAATATACACATGTAATATATTACATGTGCTATATGTATATGATAAAATATTATATACATAATAATATATGTATATATAATACATATGCATAATATGTGTGTATATGTATGTGTGCACGTATATACAAGACTGACTAAACACCAGTACTGCGAACATTCCCAGTGAGTCACTGAAGCTGGAGTTGGTCAGGGGGATTCTGAAAGCATCTCTCTGTCATTAACTGAACTTGAATAGGAAAACAGTTCTGTAACAGTAACAAGAGCTTTCAAACAGGCAGAGTGAGGACTCAGCTTTCCAATGACAGCATGGAGAGGTGTGTCAGCCCAGTCTGAGCCATGATGACACACGGTAACACGCAACCAACCCACCAACTCCACGTCTACCTTTGTCGTGGCTGTGCTCCTAGTGGTTAAGCCTATCTGAACTGGACTTTCCTTATATGTGAGGGATTTTGGAGAAAGATACAGTAGCTGTTGATATAACAAGTTAATATGTCTGAATGCTCTTTGAAGACAGGAATAAATGACACAATATGAGTGTCTATCTTTCTTCTCAGTGGTAACGGAATATGAAGTCCAAGTATATGGAGATTTTTAAAGTTCTTCCTTGAGAAGAATGAGGCCAAGGCATCTACATGTAACACGATGGAGGCCTGTACAGTTAGAAGCCTCCCCACTACTCCCTCATTTGATGTTATATTTATATGTGACATGTGTGATAAAAAATACACTGTGTAGTGTATCTAGATCTGTTTCATTATTACCCTCTGAATTACAGTTGTTACTTCTTTTGTTTGTTTATTTATTTTTTAGTTTTTCGAGACAGGGTTTCTCTGTGTAGCTTTGTGCCTTTCCTGGAACTCACTCTGCAGTTCAGGTTGGCCTTGAACTCACAGAGATCCGCCTGCCTCTGCCTCCCTAGTGCTGGGATTAAAGGTGTGCACCACCACCACCCAGCTGAGTTGTTGCTTTTTTTAAAGATAGTACCTGAAAGCAAAATCCTAGGACAAGACCAAATAATAATGTGTTCTATTCAAGACAAGTGAATAAACAAGAACAAACTAGGATATAGTATCCCAGAGAATCTAGTGTTTGAGTTTATAAACCATAATGTCATAGAATTCACTTTAGAAGACAGGGTAAGGAGTGAGGCCGAGGCAAGGCAAGGGACAAAGACCGAAAACAGGTCAAGTGTCACTCACTCCCTGAACGCTTACTAAAACTAATTTGTCAATCCAACAACTTTGACTTTTCAGTGTAGAATCTTCAGTCTTTTTACCTGGGCAAATGCTATCACTCCATAGGCATCGTCATTAGACAGAACATTGACTCTCACGTAACTACTGACGCCAATCTCTGCTCCTCCTTTTGGATTCTTAAGTTGAACTCTGAAGGATTCTTCTTTCTCTGGAACTGTATCATCAAGGATGTTTACTGCTATGATTGCTTCCTTATCACCAGGTTCAAATATCAGTTCACCTAAACTAGCATAAGAAGCACATATTAAGATAAGTCAATGATGACCAATGGATGATACACACAGTATATATTAGTCCCCAAATCCTTATAACACTGAATAATACTGGTCTTACAAGGATCAAAACACTTCATAAGCAAAATTTTCATACAAAATATTTATATAATACTGATTAACTTGGTAGACTAGATACTAAAAGTATGGATAACAAACAGATTTCTAGCTTATTAATAGCTCTTTCATTTTATGTAAAGCATTAACTCAGTCAATGAGATGGAGAAATCTGGTACCATACAAAGCTATGGTTAGATTAAAAGCATTGAACCTACCTAGGAATAAAGTCAGACTGGCTGGAGACGTAAGTCAGCTCATAGAAATGCGAGTGAGTAGCTCCCACTAAAGCAATTAAAGTTTTGCTTGAATTAAGCGACTTCACTGTAACAAAAGCTGCATCGTGAGCAGCAGGTGCTTCCAGAACAAAAGAGAACTCATTCCGCTCTGAATTCCAGCAGTAAAGAGCTGACTGTTGTTGGCCAGTTAGAAGTACATGGACTAGAAGAAGGAAAGAAAAAGAACAGAGCTGAAACGCATCCTGTGCCCACACATGCTCTCTTCAGGGCTCCAAAGCAAAGTCTTTCCAACTCTCGAAGCACCATCTGAGTTCTAGACTAAAGCAAATGTGGTCCTGTTTTTGAAATGACAGGATATAAGAAATTTTTGAGTGTTGTGCATTGACCAATTCAGCTTGACAGTGTGCACATATCTGTTCAAGAAATGAAAAGTCACTGGCGGATAAAATGAAAATGGATTATGCATTTGTTTGTGCGTATCTAAACTTACATAAAAGTAACTTGTCAGAGCAAACAACACTCATTGTGTCACCACCAAATGTTTCACTTTCATATTTCTTCTCTAGTCACCATCACATACTTTTATAATTGACAGTTGTAACAAATATAAACAAAAGTTCTAAATCATCTGAGTCCATAATTAATTAGAACTTTTATTCTTTCTGCCACATGGATTCTAGGATGAAACTCAGATTGTCAGGTTTGGCGGCAACAGCCTTAATCACTGAGCCATCTCACCGACACAAGTTTTTAATTTTAATATCGAAGTTCTAATCTATATAAGCTGTTCTTAAATATATTTAGTAATTCCTATAGATTGAGATTTTCTTGTTGTTTAACATTTGAAGTTTTCAGTATTAAGAAGAAGCAAAATACTTACTTTCACTTGGCAAATTATTCAAGATAATTAATGCAAAGAATATGAACAAGCTTCTGACACTTTGAACATACTCTGCTGGAGCACTCTTGATGCTATCAGGACTCATACTTTTGTTCGCTCACAGTAACGGCATACATGTGCATCTCTACAGGCTAAGAAAGGGGTGGCTTCACATGCTACATAGAACACCAACCGCTCTCCAGACATAAATGGAGGGGGGCTGGAAACCATAGAGAAACATACACAAATTCTAGTGCTGACGGAAACACGCTGGGGCAGGACCGTATCCAAGACTGAGTAAGCATGAAAATAACATGAATCCATAAAGGCTGACAACAACCTTCTTCTATGCTAGCGCACAGGTCACAGTGGGAAACCCTACACACTGACTCGCACACATCAAAAACTCTTGGTGACTACTGTTTGGCCACTGTTAATGTATTAATTAGATTAACTAATTTAGGTACTGTTGCATATAACTAAGCATTGCATAAAGGTAAAGATCGGAAAAAAATGTTATATATTAGAATCTTTAAATGGCAAATATTTTGCACAAAGTTTTGTAAAATTACAGACATTCCAAAATAACATGACATTTTAAAAGCTTCCCTTTTAAAGTAGTCAACGAAAAGAATCTCTTGATCTGTCTCTATGTCTCTCAGTTTCTCTGTCTCCCTTTTATCCTTCTCTCCCTCCCTGTATCCCTTCCCACAAAAGGCACTGTAAGTTTTAGGATAAAGACCACAATCATTTAATTCCCCATTTAATTGACTTAACTAATCTTTCTCTGTTCATGTCCCTTGCCACTGTTCCTCACTGCTTGTGCTTGGATTACATTGGGCTCTTTCTGGTTGTTTCTGGAAAGCACATGCTCACCACCACTACCTGACCTCTTTGTATCATTTGCGTTCTTTGCCTAGAGCCCATCTCCAGCTCAATTCTTTGCCTCCTGTTTAACCCATAATTCTTAATCACGTGATAACTGAAGAAAGCTTTGTTAGGTATGTCATAATTGGCTCAAGTTCTCTCCAGTATTTTATTCAATTATTTCCTGGAAATTATGTTATAGTTATAGTCGTATTTGTCACATGTGCATGCACACACACACACACACACACACACACACACACACACACACACACACCCCTCTTTATCCTACCACATGCTACATTTTTGCAAGACAGAGACTTCATGTGATTTGAACTGCCCTTGTTCCCACAGGCTTTGCCATTGTGACTGCCACCTTTAAAAATCTAATAACTAATAAAGGAGCCAAAAATAGAGAAGGAAGCAGCAAGTCTACATATCCTTGCAATACTAGTCCTATTCATTTTCCTCTTACATTTTCAGAAATCAGTCATAGAACTAACCACAGCGTAAATATGTGAACCTATGCCCTTGGCTCCAATTTAACATTTTGATTAAAACATTTGACATATACAAAATAAGAAATCCTTTGAACACTCTTTAATGCATACTTTCAGCTTTCAGGGATTTATAATAGCTATTCTAATAATTTCCTACGGTCTTTTCATGCCTCTACCACTTCAAGTCACAGAAACAAAAGAAACAGAGAGACCTCACAATGGGCTCTTCATAAAACCTCTGGCAGAATTTTCCCTGAATTCTTTTGGAAAGTGTACCTATTATATTTTTTAAATCCTTAAAAGGAATTCTATAACCTCAATTAAGAGCCCATCTGTGCAGTACATTTCTTCCTTAAAAACACTCATTAGGCAACCATTGTGACTATCAATAAGTGACTTGAGTAGACTGTCCATCCATCTGAAAACCTGAGGTATAAGAAAAGCAGAAATTAAAGGCCTAAAATTAAAGGATAAGTTAAAAAAAAAACTGAACAAACAAAATGAAAGATGTTCTATTCAGTAAATCAACTGTCGAGTGAATAAGAAAGCCAGTCCTACTGTACATCACAGGACAGCATCACAATGCATGTCCACATCTGTGTGAGCAGGGTAGGGATGAGTCAGGCCTCCGGGTACAGTGAGGCAAGTGTGGAGGCTGGGAAGCCATACAACAGACCAAGTAAAAAATTAGAGGGAATGCTACAAATGCAGAGCCCAAGAGGAAGAAACCCGGAAACAAAGGAAATTGTGTTTTTCTCTCAGTAAGAGAACTTGGTAAAAACAAACAAACAAAACCAGGGGAAATGCTCTCATTCAAGCCCAGTGGTTGAGGAAGCTCAGTGTGACCCAGCCTAGAGCCACAGTGTCTAACAGAGAAAGCTAGAACCAGGATTCCATGAAGAAAAGGAAGCACAAGCAGAATCCTGCGGTCTGTGCCAATCCTTCCAGCCTCCTACCACTTACTCTGTATGTCTTAATTGCAGTTTCACCTATCTCCAAGCATCAGTCTCTAAATCTAAACCTCTGATTTCCCCCCCATTCTCCTGCACACCTCTAACCACCTCAGTGTTTTACCATTACTTTCAACAACAGCCACCTAGAACCAAGCTGCTGATTGCTTCCAGTAAATTAATTCTTCCTACAGTCTTTCTTAATTTCAGTATCAGTAGCCTCATAATTGCCAAAGTGTGGAAGTTTTGCTGCCCACATTTGAGTACTCAGCAGAAATCTTCATGAATGTTCATTGCTATATGTCTTGTCTACAAAACTCCTGTGCATCTGAGGTCCCTTTCACCTCAGGATGTTCTTTTAGTTGATCTAGGTGGCTGCAACACATTTCATTCACATTTCTTATACCAAAGCTAGAGGACATTGTCAAAGAAGGGCTTTGTTCAGCATGTGCCTCTGAAATGCCTTTATGGACTTCTCTACCTCAGTCATCCTCAGAGTCTGAGCTGGGAACTGCTAAGAGTCCTGGGACACTGAGATAACCTGTGAGGTCCAGACTGTTTCTACAGCAAATCAGAGATGCTGTTTGGCTACTTCACTTCATTCCTGCATCAGCAAGTGTCCTGAGTCGATGTGACTGCTATCCTGTGAAAGAATGAATGCAGATGGGGACAAGAGAATCCAGATGCAGAAAGACAGACGATGCTTGATCCCTCTTCTCCAGGCGAAGACCCTTTATATGAAATGTTTCAGATTTCAGAGATTTTCAGATTTTAGAATACTTACATACATGGCCAAAATGTACTGAGAAATTAATCCCAAGTATAAACATAAAATCACAACCATTGTGGTACACACCTTTAATCCCAGCACTTCTGAGGCAGAGGCAGGTGGATCTCTGTGAGTTCAAGGCCAGCCTGGTCTACAGAGTGAGCTCCAGAAACAGCCAGAGCTATGTAGAGAGACCCTATCTCAAAAACCAAAAACAAAAACAAACAAAAAAAAACCATAAATTCACACTGCATCTTATATTGGTAAGAGTAATCTTACACAATATTTTTTTAATTTTATGCCTAAAACAAGGTGTTGTGGGCATAATTTTTCACTTGTCACATCATTTCAGATTTCAGATGTTCACAATAAGGGCACTCAACCTACACGAGAGTCTTAAAAGTTTGAACTCTTCAAAAAAGAGCCTACAATGGGCCTTAATGGACAGACCAGCATGTAAAATCCCAGCATAAGCCTGCCAACCTGAGTTCAGTCCCCAGGTCCCATGTAGAAAAGCGGGGGGGGGGGGGGGGGGGGGGGGGGGGGCTGGGGGGGGCGGGCCTTGCTTCTGCATACTCAGCATGTTACAGTGCAGTGGAAATAAAACTATCCTTGCACGTCCACATGCAACTGTGTCATGGGCTCACCCCCAGGGCACATGCATGTGTGCACATATACACAAATAAATAATAAATCTTTAAATAAAAAAAAAATAACTGCAATGGTGGTTGCCAGGAACTTACATTGAAGAAAATGGAAGGAGGCTAATCAAAGAATAAGATCTACAGCTGTTGATAATTTCTGGAGAGCTCATTGTACAGGGTGGTAATGGTACTACTAACCATGAGTTGAAAACTCAGAATAGGCTAGGAGAATAAATCTTGAGTTTTCATTACATACACACAAACGCATAGTCCACACTTTGGCCTAGAGCTATCCATAACTCCAGTTCCAGGGGATCTGTCCTGGTTGGGTTTTGTCAACTTGACACAAAGATAGACATATCACAAAGAGGGAATCCTAATTGAGAAAATATCTCCAAATATTTGCCTATAGCAAAATTCTGCTGGAGCATTTTCTTGATGAACGATTGATGTGGGAGGACCCAGCCCACTGTGGGCAACACCGCTCATGGACTGGTGGTCCAAGACAGTCTAAGAAAGCAGGCTGAGCAAGCCCTGAGGAGCAAGCCAGTAAGCAGCACTCCTCCACAGCTTCTGCTTTGGTTCTTGCTTCTAGAGCTCTGCCTTAACTTCCCTTAGTAACCTGGGAGCTGTAAGGTGAAGGTAACCCTTTCCTCCGCAAGCTGCTTTTGGTTTGTTGTTTCATTGTGGCAACAGAAACCCTAGGACAGGATGCAATGCCCTTTTCTGAACTCCATGGGCAACAAGCACACACACACTTGCAGGCAAAACATATGAAATAAAACACGCATGATTTGCTCTCTCCCTTCAGCTACATCACTTCCTCTTCCTACACAGCTCTGTCACTTCCTGTCCGTCTGTACAGACCTCTGTGGTTCACTAGTTTTGGAATTAAGGTATGTGCCACCACACCTGACTCTGTTTCCAGTGTAGTCTTGAACTCAGAGATCTAGATTCCTGCCTGCCAAGCGATAAGATTAAGGGCATGTGCTACCATTGCCTGACTTCTTTGTTTACTTATAATGGCTGGCCTTTTTCCTCTGAACTCCAGGCAAGCTTTATTTATTAAAGCACAAATAAAATATCACCACATTTCAGCACTAATAAAATATCACCACACACACAAAGCACAAAAAATAAAATTAATAAATCAGCCGGGCGGTGGTGGCGCACGCCTTTAATCCCAGCACTCGGGAGGCAGAACCAGGCGGATCTCTGTGAGTTCGAGGCCAGCCTGGACTACCAAGTGAGTTCCAGGAAAGGCGCAAAGCTACACAGAGAAACCCTGTCTCAAAAAACCAAATAAAATAAAATAAAATAAATCAGAAAGTATCAGTCTTTTTGAAACTCTGGGACTTCTGGGTGGATTATTATAAAGATCTGATGTTATATTCCTACTAAAATAGTTTCTGAGAACATACTGCTCTATCTAAATTAAATGAGAATGGAGTCAGTCTGCTTCCCACACTGCACTTAAGATGGGCTAGCAACTGAAAATTCCTTACCTATTCCAGAAGCTGGTGTGAAGGAACGGATTCTGTTAACAGTAGCAAAGTCCAGGGACTGGAAATATCTGAAAGATGACTTCCCCAACTCCCAGATGAAAATGTCAATTGAATTTCGATTTCCTGTGATTAAGAAATAAAAAGCAACAAGCTGTATGAAGAAAATGACAAAATTGCACAAAAGAACTATAGTGAAACATTAAATTCAATTAAAGAAAATTTTCCATTATATATGTGTGTGTATAACAATATATATACAATATACATACAATGTATAATGTATATACGTATACATACAATATACAATATGTATACAATATATATGCTATATATATATATATATATATATATATATATATATATATATATATATATATATATATATATATATATATATATATAAAAACAGTTCAACTTGGCAGGAAACATTGCAAGCCCTTTCTGTTTTTTATCACATGAAGCACACACACATACTAAGACACACTAGAAGACATACTCTGTCACGTGAAGCACACACACTAGGACACAACACAAGAGAGAACAGAATGACATATGTATTCTTATACAGATTGTAATTTGAATAGTTTTATCAAAAGTCACTACACACTATCAGCTCTATAAATTTCTCATGATACCTAAAGTAGAGCCATATAAAATTATAACTTTTGGAAGATTGACTATAAAATCTTTATACATCTTCTCACATTACCCATCTACTCCTCATCTTATAGGAATATAAGTTTGAAATGGTAGTTTAGCACAGCACAAGATCACAGGTATAAAGCCTTCTTTTTGGGTAAAATCTATTTCTAACTGACATTAATACTTTCAATCAAGAAAGTCGATGAATCCTCAAAACAGAGAACATTTCACATAAAAAAAACAATATAATGCTATATGGTTTTGATAGTAACTGTACATACATTACAAGCACCATATTTCCTCACCTAGAAAGGTATTTTTGGCAAAAAATAAGTAAACATCATCGCCTGAAGACAAAGCCTCCACTTGTGTTATCCCACTGACCGACACTTCTTGAAAGTTAGTAAACCGACTACCAGACCACGTGAATAAAAGGGCATTTCGTTTGACATTAGCCTGGGAAATGGCTAAGAAGACAGAGCCTCCTCTGCTGAACAAGGCCATGCCCAGGACACCTTGGACAGGCAACGTCTGGTGTAAGGCAAAGACGCTTCCACTCCATCTGAAGACCTGTAGGGAAAGTCCAAACACAAAGCCCTTATGATCAGGAATTGAGCACCTGAGACAATCTAACAGGGTCATACAACCTACACTCCTGGAGCCTTCTGTTCAGTTGGGAGAGTAGTGATATAATAGAAAAGCAATGAAACTGAGTCTCTCTGTCTCTGTCTCTCTGTCTCTTTCTCTCTCCTCCATCCCGTGTGTGTGTGTGTGTGTGTGTGTGTGTGTGTGTGTGTGTGTGTGTGTGTGTGTGTAATGAATAAAAGAGAAGTTATTTGAGAAGAAATCAGCATAAATATATAGAAAGGCAATGGCAGTAAAAATCCAAAAGTAGAAGAGAATTGAACTGAGTCTAAAACACAAAATCCTTGATCTCTTGATGTCTTCACCAGCATCTCCAACAACAGAATACAGAGATATCTTCGCCCTATGGTAGCAGTCCTATATTTTGTCCTCATGATAGCAAGACATGGAGGGTTTTAGGATAAGTATCCTCAGAGTTAACCTTAAAAGAAAGTCCATAATTTACCTGCTCATTCTACACCCTGGTCACTTTTTACAAAGGGTTGTAACACTAGTCAAAGTTTGGACTTTCGGCCAAGCATTAGGCTGGGAGCCAGGGATACAGTGGCTTTTTCTAAGAGTCCAGCAATTATTAGAGAAGGTAATTAAGTTGTCAATCAGTGAATAAATAGAGACTGCACACTGAGACAGAACCGAACATGACAATTAGGGTGGGAAGTACAGAGAGCGGATGTCCTGAGGGAGTCAAGTCAGACATGTTGGCTCTGAAGAAGAAAGTTTGTCTTGTTCTAGGCAAAGATGAATCCAATTTGAAAGGATGTTAAGGGAATGGGGGACTAGAAAGGTAAGGCATATTCTTTGGGGTGATGACATAATTTACAGTTCCAATGAGGGTCTCTGAGGCAGTGAAGAATAAGTATGAATGATTCCACCAAGACAATGGGCATGCTGCAGCACTGGCCTGGAAAATGAGGAACAATGGCAATGCTGTATAACATACAGTCTATATCAAAAACTGGAAAATTTCTAAGTGTAATTGAAAGCTGCTGAACAGTTTAACATGAGAAATAACACAAACCAATGCTGTTTAAAAGGTAACTGCAAATTCTCAACAGAGATTGGCTCTGCAAAGATCAGGGAAGTCTAGAGATGGGCTGAGACAGGTTCTAACTGTACCAGTGAGAAATGATTGGGGGATTCCTTAGGGAGATTATAAGTGAAATGATGGAGAGAAGCCTTAAGGGGATAAGAAGTGGATAGATGTGCCTGTATTCTAAATATAATTGAGATATTCATAAAAAGCACTTAATGGTAACAAGATTTAAAAGAATATGAAGGAATAATTAAGCAGGGAGATCCCATTATTACTCTTGAATGATTCCTCTTTATGAGGCTGCTATTGCCTGACATTAAAGCAAAAATGAAACGAGCTGCATGGAGAAAATTTAAGTTCAGACCAAAACGTTCTGTATCACATGCTTAAAACTATGTAAGTGGGCATGGAAGGAAATAGACAAGGAAATCTAGAGTACAGAAGAAAGGCTTCATATGTGATTTGGAGGACATTGGCCTACAGCTTGTATGTCAAACCACAGACTTATAAAATTACTCAGAGCGAGTACAGAGAAAGAACAAAACAAATTAAACTGAGTTCTAGAAAACTCCAAGATATCTCAGTTTAGAAAGGAAGTGGGAAATAATAGTGATTGAGAAGGATGGGGCAGTAAGGAGGAAGAGGAAGAGAAGGAGGGAGGGAGGGAAGAAGGATATAAGGAGGGAGGGAAGATGAAGGGAAGGCAGAGGAGGGGAGAGGAGGGCAAGGGAGGGGCAAAGGGCAGGAAGGGTTCTGACAGATGGGAAAAAAGAAAGACAGAGAACACAGATCCCTGGAACAGAAAAGAGGTTTCAAGTCTGAGGAATGCCGACTGCCATGCGCAGTCACAATGAGGACACACACATCTCCGAAGACCAACAGCCCAGTCACCACTGGTGTGCGTTAGATGTCCTATTGACTACTTACCTTGTTTTTAGGATAAAGCACTCTGACCAAAGCACCTGAGGGAGGAGTTGATTTGGGCTTACAGTTCTAGGGCACCGCCCACGACAGTGGGGAATGCAGGGCAGTGGGAAAAGAAGGCAGCGGGTCCCACTGTATCCACAGCCAGGACACAGGGAGAGATGAATGCGCATGCACCACTCACTTTCACTTTTCTATTTCCTGCAGAATCGCAGCCTATGGAATGGTGCTGCTGGAAGGGAAGGGGGGTCTCCTGCCGCAGGTGGCTAGCCTTATCTAGATTCTGTCAAGTTGACGATGGAACTCAGACCAGTAAGGAGAGATGTCTTCATAATAGAGAGAAAATGGAAATATCAGGGAGGAGGGCTTTCTTTTTAAACTGGGCGGTGCTTGAACATTATGCCCACTGTAAAACCTCCTTGAGAGAGAATTGGTAGCTTGGGGGAATAGCGAGGGTCTAAGAAGGCAAGAAGGGCATGGTGTGAGAGACATGGCCCCACTGTGATGGGAAGGGAGAATAAGGCTGGGTTTCCAGTGTTATAAAAAGGAGTAAGCTTCCTTCTGGCCGATCTCATTGCAGGAGAGTCATTCTCTGAAAATGAAGAGGTGCCAGGCATGTGCGGAAGCCTGAGTGACAAAGAACCATCAAGTAAGCACCATGATGACAAGACGAGTGTGCTAGAAAAGTGTGACACTGGTGATGTGATCCTGAATGCCCACTTGGCAATGTCCATCATGAGTTTTTAGTGATACCATCTGCTGAGCTGTGATTTTTCTCCACAGTGTTTCCCAACCCAATTAGACTCTAATCAGATGCTCGTGCTATTATTAGATTAGTCTTCAAAAAATTGACGATGCCCAGTCATTCCATATCACCACCATCAAATCATGGCCTTTGTTACACAAATCCTATAGACCACATGGGAACAGATCTCATTGGCATGTTGGGGGGGGGATTTTACTTTAAGAGACTCACACCTGAGTTAACTCAGAATCATTTCTTTGACTTGCAATGATGAAATAATCTTGACTGTCTGAGGTGAAATGTTGTACTTGACAACTTCCTGAAATAATGATTGTCTGAACCTGCAAAAGAGTAGTAATAAACATTTAAAGTCTTTAACAGTGGAAGCCACTGAATGCAATAACACACATTAGTACCTAGCTGAAGATCTGAGAATGTGTTTAATTGGTAGCTTATGCATTCCTAAGTGCCATTTGAAGACAAAAATAGCCTTGAATTAAGATACTTGCTACTATGTGTATCAATTGCAAAAAAAGTTCTTTTTTATTTTAACATAGAACATATATCCTCTTTCATTTTGATTAATCTTATGAATTTGAATTGCACTTAAGTAAAGAATCCACAGAAAAAGGAAGAATTTACCAGGAGTAATTTGAATCCAGAAGTGAGCGTGTACACACTGTTAATGGAAGGCTTTTCTCCGTTTTTCCCCCCATGAGTAATGACAAGATAAGGGGAAACACCAACATTAAAGGCCTCACAAGTGTCAGGATTTTCTATATTTAAATCCTAGGAAATACAGATGATATTAGTAATTAGTGCTATATCAAATTTTTCACATACATTTTAGTTTGTGTACCATAAAGCAAAGAGTGATGTTTACCTCAACTGGAATGAAAGTCCCTTGCCATCGGTAAACAACTAACGATGATTTTCTGAGCATCACACCGTAAACTGAATCTTCAAAAGTAAAGAAACACCAGCCAGGTGCTGTCTGGTCCAAAAAGCTTTGAAATACAGAAAAGACAAGATCCATGCCCCCTAAAACAATGAAATAAATCATTATGTATGTGTATATAATCACATCTGAACCTTATCTCATTTGAATAATTATTTAAACAGTGAAACTATAGAGCATATTAGAAAGAGGATGGCGATAATGGTGTGTGTGTGTGTGTGTGTGTGTGTGTGTGTGTGTGCCTGTGTGTCTGTGTGTCTGTGTGCCTGTGTGTGTTGTAAGTTAAAGTGAATAGACACTAGGAAGCTTAAAAACAGTATCTAAAAATACCAATGTTTTTAAATTAGTGATATTTTGATCTATCTCCTACAATCTTTTCCAAGTGTATTAAAAATTAAATATATATATATATATATATATATATATATATATATAGAGAGAGAGAGAGAGAGAGAGAGAGAGAGAGAGAGAGTATATATATGTTTTGAAGAGAAACATGCTAAAATTACTTCTATCAACTTCCATAAAGATTGTCAAAGGACAGATGAAATTTAAAAATGATAAATATATCTTATAAAAACATGCTAATGGTACTATCAAACTTAATCTCACATTTTTAAATGTCTGCTCATTCAACGGTTTCTCGGTTTCTATTTTATAGACTTCAGAATATCTGTGCAGACTCACTTCAATTGACTTCAAGATTTTATCAAATTGCTATATATTATACATCTCCTAAAATTTTGTTTAAAAATACTAAAAGAGAAAACCCCTAATTAATGAGGAATTATTATTTTAAAAATATTAGTTCTATCATATATTGTCATGACTATTTCCCAAAGTAAGTTATTTTTAAACTTTAGCTAGTTATGTGAACATATGGAATAAGAAAAACAAAACCAACAACTTAGGTGAATTACTGATCAGATCACTTTTAGTTCAAGAAGACGCAACGTATGCAGCATCCACTAGAGACTTTCCTAAATGCACCAATTGCATTCTTATCTTGCAGCCTTTCAAAAAAGTTCACAGCTTTTTCATTAAGAGTCCTAAGTAGAACTGACATACAGACAAATCTTCAGTCCTGGGACTCGAGAAGATGGGAATAAAGATTAAACAGCTGCCACTTGGGACTTCCCACTCTCAGGAGTGCATTGAAAAGAATGCTGAGTGAGAAAGCAAATCTTCCTTGTCTTTTATAGCTGTCCTATATATGACATGTGTGTGTATATATATGTTTGTGTGTATATATATGTATATAAACATATACGTATATGTATATATAGTTGTCTCCTGTCTTCTGGGCAATGTTGCTACTTCCACTTCTCTTCATAATTTTCAGTCTTTCTCTGATGCCTGGACCTCTTCAGCAGCACTGTAGTAAGTTCCAATCACTCCCAACCACACAGGTAGGAATTCTCTGAGTTCCAATATTTTATCTAGACCCCTATCCTCCCAGCCAGACTTTCAGAAATAGCTGCATGTAGCTAAAGTCTCTACCACCACTCGAAGAATTACTCAGTCCCTGTCCCCTATACAAATAACCTTCACTGTGCTCATGTGTGTGGTCCACATTAGTAACTGTAATGGTTGCTGTGGTAGATTCTCATCTTACTGGATGCCCACCTGAAGAGGCACACACAGCTTCTCTTCAGTTCAAACACTCTCCTTTGGCCTTGTCAGCAATCCTGCATGACTGGGTTTCTCACAAGTTATTTCAAATCTCCTCTCTTAGGTCATTACCATGTCCTTAGCCACACAATATGCGCCTTTTCAAAGATTGGTCTGCATGCTTATCCCCAATCTAACTACGCTCTCTCTTTTTAGTCTCTCAATTCTCATGAGCTTCAACACAATATGTGCCAAAACTTCCATTTAATCTAGAAACATCTCCTCAACTCTAACTCAAATGCAAAATACACTTAGTCCATGTCCCTTATTCAAATAATACCTCTTTCATAATTCTCTCTTTTAGATGATGGCATGACCTTCTACCCAACTGTGTAAGCAAGAAACTTGGGTCATCCACAGCATCTCACCATCATATCCAGTTCATTACTGGATCTAAGCTACCTAACCTGCTGCCTCCTGTTCATTACTCTACATCCTTTTTTTCTCTTCTGTACAAACAATTCTTTACATGACACTATGGACAATATCTATAAAATATAAATATGGTCACACCACACCATTCTTCATACCTAAGCCACTGAGAGGCTTTTCATTAAACCTAGGATGAACATTAGCATCCAAGAACTATTTTTCAAATTCTTTAAAGATTTGGCCTACCTAACTAATCAAGACCAGTATTCCCTCTTTCTCTTCTGTTCACTGTCCATTCAATATCTTCCTTTATATATCAGTTCATGACTCAAGTCTCCAGCCTTGACAGCCTTTCACTGCTGTCTCCAGCTTCCTCCTATCCAGTTCTCTCATCCAATCCCCATTCATCAGTCAGTCTCAGTTCAAACATTGATTGTTGTGAAATAATTATTTTACATTTGTTTATGCTGTGGAACATTTATTTTTAATGATGTAAAGATGTGTTGCATTATTTTATGTTGCATGTGTTTACCTCTGTGAAGCTGTGTTACATTACCTGTCTAAAACACTTGATTGGTCTAATAAAGAGCTGAATGGCCAATAGTAAGGCAGGAAAAGGGATAGGCATGGTTGACAGGCAGAAAGAATAAATAGGAGGAGAAATCTGGGAAGAAAAGATCAAGGAACAAGAAAAGAAGGGGCCAGCCGCACAGCCTCATAGCCTGATATGGAATAAGAAGGAAAGAAAAGATACACAGAAATAAAGAAAGGTAAAAGCCCAGAGGCAAAAGGTAGACGGGATAATTTAAGTTAAGAAAGGCTTGCAAGAAACAAGCCAAGCTAAGGCTGGGCATTCATAAGAAAGAATAAGCCTCTGTGTATTTGTTTGGGAGCTGCATGGAGGGCCCCCAAGAGTAAAGAGTAAAAACAACCAACTATAATTGATTCTCCTTGAAAGTACTCAGTATTTTTTATTTTACGTGCATATATGCATGTTTGTTTGAATATATGCCATGTGTGTGGGTACCTGCAGAGGCCAGAAGAGGATGTCAGATCCCCTGAATCTGGAGTTACAGGCAGTTGTGAGCCTCCTGACATGGGGCTAGGAACAGAACTCAGGCCCTCTGGAAGGGAATCAAGCACTTTTAACTGCCAAGCCATCTCTTCTGCCCTCTCTTACGTTTTACAACTTCCAATTTCCCCTTTAAAGCATTATTATCATTTGCAATGTGTGGTGATATTTTATTTGTGCTGAAATGTGGTGATATTTTATTTGTGCTTTAATAAATAAAGTTTGCCTGAAGATCAGAGGAAATAGCAAGCCATTTTAAGTAAACAAAGAAGTCAGGCAGCGGGTGCACACACCCTTAATCCTACCACTTAGCAGGCAGGATCTCTGTGTGTTCAAGGCCACACTAGGGAACAGAGCCAGGTGACAGACATGAAGTGACAGAGCTGGCCAGGAAGAGGAAGTGATGTAGCTAGACAGAGAGCAACATCATATGGCAGAACAGCAAGGCAATAAAGGCATGGATAGACAGGAAGTCGCTCTCTTTGGAAGCTGCAGAGTTGGTGAGGTAAGGTTGGCTGGTGGCTTTCCATATTTCCCTGATCTCTCTGAGGCTTTCACCCCTATATTTGGCTCCATGTTTTTTATTTAATAAGGCCATTTAGAAATCTGTCTACAGCAATGCAAATTGATTTTTATTTCTGGCAATGTGTAAATTCTAAACTTTGTGCGCTGAAATACACAATAAACATTGTGGATGCAATAAGAGAATCAAGTACCTGTTCTGTGGGTAATAGACCAGTTAACACACAATTCATGAAAAAAAAGTGAAACGTACTCATGCCAAAAGCTGTCTCAGACACTGTCTCCCACTGCACACTCACAGCTAAATCAAGGCCATTCGTTCGTGAAACATTGAGGTATACACTCCTGTTGGATTCTTCAACATCTATAGAGGTAGCACTAAAAGAAAAACAAATGGATTTTGGAGAGCAAAAAAGGATAATTTTTAAATATTTAACATACATATCACACTGCCAGAATATTACTTAATATACTTGTAAGTTTGTACACCCCAATGAGACCACAAATTTTATGCATTGGAGAGACTAGACTACAGTATTCAAAAGTATTCACTTATGGATATTTTTAAAATAAAAAATACAAATGTAGACCCATAGCCAAGCACTTGGCCAAGCTCCTGGAGTTCAGCTGAAGAGAGAGAGGAGGGATTTTAGGAGCAAGGAGGGGTCAGGATCATGATATGAAAAACCTCAGAGACAGCTGATCCCAGCTGGTGGGAGCTCATGGGCTCTGGACTGACAGCTGGGGAACCTGCACGGGACCACACTAGGCCCTCTGAATGTGGTTAACAGTTGCATGGCTTGATGTGTTTGTGGGTCCCCGGGCAATGGGATCAGGACTAACCCTGGGTACATGAACTGGCTTTTTAGAGCCCATTCCCTATGGTGTGATGCCTGACTCAGTCATGATGAAGTGGGGAGGGGCTTGGTCCTGCCTCAGCTTGGTATGCCAGCCTGTGTTGACTACCCAAGGGAGACCTTACCCCCTGAGGAGGGGATGGGAGTGGGACAGGGGGGATGTGGGGGGAGCAGGAGAAGGGGAGAGAGGGGAACAGGGGTTGGTATATAAAATGAAAAAAAATTTAAATAAAAAAATACAAATGTGACACACTCCAATACTCTTATCATAACAATGATTAAATATCTGTCACATCACAATATACAGTCAAACAATGTTGCCATTGTGAAATCTCTTCACACAGAACTCAAATATCTGGTAAGAAATATATGAAGTAGGAAATTTTAGCCTATTAATAAATAAAGTTAGAGCTCTTAATTATTTAAGATATAAAAATATTTGTCCACTCCCAGACATTTTAAAAGTAACCAGATATTAGCTTTCTTCTACATCTCCTCAGTTCAAACCTGTTGCCTATTTTGTTTCAAAATGTTAATGTGTTATAAATAAATCATACCTATTTTCAAGGGCAGAAATACTAAATAGTCCCAAAGGGGCCTGGTTTTGCAAAATTGTTATCAGGGTTTGAACATGGGTCCCTAGTCGAGCACCTCCAGTTGGATTAAACAGGGTACAGACAAAATGCTCATCCATTTCTGGTTCTGTGTCTAATATGGCAGAGATATGCAGGGCCTGAAAACAAAATAAAAAATAAAGTTAATAGAATATGATCCTTTTTGAAACACACGTGGAGAAATTCACTAAACATTTTTACAACATATTTTTGAAACATGACTTCTGTTTACATTTGATTCACATCATGTGATTGCTACATTTGTTTCAAGATACTATCGTGGGGATTTTAACCATGTGATCTGCTACCCTAAAGTGTCTAAAAAGTAAGAGTTGATGGCAATAGCACTCATTGGAGATGGAGAGATGGCTCCATGGTTAAGAGTTGCTGCTGCTATTCCTGAGAACCCAAACTTAGTCCCAGCACCCACATCAGGCAGCCCACAACTGCCTGTAACCCTAACCCCAGAAGATCAGATGCCCTCTTCTGGCCTCCATGGGCACCTGCACTCAAGTGCCCAGACACATATAGACCAACACATACATATGATTTTTAAATAAAAATCAATCTTTTTTTTTCAGTTTTCAAAACAAAACAACAAGAACTGATTACAATGTTAAATTCATGTGCTGATTTCTGTGACATTTTTGCCCCATCCAGGCTACATAATTCCATTAACCTCATCCCAATCTGTAAATGACTGTCTAGAATCAAGGCAGAGTGGGTACACACTAGAACCAATTAAATTCTTGCCATCAGCAGAACAAAAGGGCTGTGGTCTCAGCACAGAAACGGGAAAGAACCACCTACTGACAGGGAGCAATCATGTGTTCCCAGAATGCTGTGTGAAAGACATCAACATAAAAGCATAACCACTGCACGATCCCATCTACACAGAGCCAATGAGTCAGCAAGAGGACTCTTAATTTGAAAAGTTAGAAAGCTGCATTCTCTAGAAAGGGCAAAGGACAAAAGGGAGGCCTCTGGATGGCAGTGACTTAAATGTCTTACTCTGGGTGGTGGTTATATGTGCACACATATCTTTAAAGCCATTTATCTACATGCTTAAGGACTGTATAACATACAGGTTACATTTTAAAATTAAAATGTGGGAAGCAGTTAGGTTTGTTCAAAATTTATTTAATTTGTTCTAACAATTAATATTCCTAGTGAATATATCCAAGTATCTTAAACTATTTTAAAAAGGAGGTTTAAGGAAAATAATAATTTAAAATATAAAAGAATACTTTTTAAAAGAAGAAAAATACGAACAAAGTAATAGCAAATTCACAAAGCACTTATGCTTTAAACTTTTATATCATTTCAAAATTGGGGTGGATCTTTAAACAAATCAATTAAACTTTGTTTTAGATTTTCAAGAATATAAAAATACTGAACTTGGAAAACACGCTGAAGTTTACAGGAACACAAGAGGACTGAGGCTGTAGCTGACCTTGCCAGCATTCACAGGGCCCTGGGTCCAACATACACCATGAAAAACAGGAGATTCCTCGGTTACTACATGAACTCTCATGTTCAGTTACTGTAAGTATGCTCATTTAGTGTTATATTCGGGTCTAAAACGCACAAGTTAATGTGACCAAATATGTTTAACTGTACCTAAAAAACCAAGTTGAGAGGCTGGAGAGATGGAGGAAGTGATTAAGAGCACTGGCTGCTCTTCCAGAGGACCTGGGTTCAATTCCCAGCACCCACATGGAAGCTCACAACCATCTGTAACTCTGTTTCCAAAGGATCCAACTCCTCCCCTTCCGACCTCCACAAGCAGCAGGCACACGTGTGATATACACACATATATATGTGCAAACACACATACATGTAAAAATAAATCTGAAGAATTTTTAACTCAAGCTTTAAACCTGAGTACTCAAAACAAAAAAGTTAGCATACAGACCAGGAAGGGAGGAAGGTCCCTGGCTTTTGCTCCGTTTTGGTTTTGAGTACAGATGGCACTCAGAACTGATCTCAAGTCCAGCCTTTTTCTCACCTGAACTGCCCCTGTTCTCCTAGCTGCAGGTGAAAGCGAGCAGTTCTGTTTGTTCAGCTAGAACGTGGCTGACAGACACGGATGGAAGTTCCTTTAGCTTATGTTCTTACAGACAATATAAAGGAAGACTGCCACTCAAATGGGCTTAAATTTTGAAATGTGAACCACACATTCTTTTTCTTGCATATTCCTCAACCATATTAACCGTTTTCCCACTTGCCATCTGAGTGCACTTTCTAACATGGTGACACTAGCCCCTCACACTAGTGCCACTGTCTCTCTCATTTAAGAAGGGTTTTGCTTTGCTTTGCTTTGCTTGCTTCTTGAGAACTTAGGGCACATTTCTGAGAAAAATTATTTTTAAATACTAAAGATAATCTTAGTTCTCATTAACAAAATTAAAGGTTCATACTCTACCTTGGCTCGAACACCTTCCTCTAGAACAACAAAGCCTTTGGAAGGAATCAGATCCTTAGACTGTGTTGAAGAGTTGACTTCTGTCACAACAAACTGAACCGCCACCGTTCCAAACAGACCTTGTGCAGGCTCCCGAATGACGGTTAACACTGCAACACTCTCTTGCATGTGGAGAGATGTTGGTTCTCTGAGGAAAATGTGTGCACTGTTGTTAAAGGACAGAACTCCAGGGCCATCGTCGTTTGCAAGGACAGTAATCAAAGCTGTTAAGACAAAAATATTCAAGCAGTAACTGAATGTGTTAGAAATCCTAAAGACAGTACGCTCACAGCTGACTCTTTAATCATTACTAATTCAGGTCTCACCATAGCCAAAAGGGAGCACCTTTTAGTATTCCCATGTTACAGCGCCTGTGACAGAATGTACACAGGTACTCCATAGAAGTTCAAAAGCTAGAAGGGAACAGAACTGTGATACAAGCCAGGAAGTCAGCTTCAAGATGTTTACCATTCTTACACTCATTTTCATATCCATTCATTAGGTAGGGAGAGCACATGTCACATTGTGCGAATATGAGGAAATCAGAGGACACCTTGTGGGAATCCACCATGTGGGTCCCAGAGATCAAACTCGGGTCATCAAGCTTGGTGGCAAACGCCTTTACCAACTGAGCCATCTTGCCAGCCAAGACCTACAAACTTAAGCATCATCATAATATTTTTATATATCAGTTGCCATTGTTTGAAAATATAACAGTAAAGGGATCTCATTCAAAATAAACAATTAACAGAAATTAATGGGAAAATATAAGAAATATGCACACAAAGAAAAATCACAAAATGTCGATTGTGGCCACCTTGTCTCCCCTTGACCCTCTCTCAGATTCCTTGAAGTAGCTCACAAAATTATCACTGGGTCAAGGAAGAAATAAAGAAAGAAATTAAAGACTTCCAGGAATTCAATCAAAATGAATGCACAGCATACCTAAACTTATGGGACACTATGAACGCAGTGCTAAGAGGAAAGTTCATAGCACTAAATGCCTGCATAAAGAATGTGGAGAAATCTCTAGTAGTGGCTTAACAGCACACCTGAAAAATCTAGAACTAAAAGAAGCAAACCAACCCGAGAGGTGTAGAAGACAGGGATAATCAAGCTGAGGGCTGAAATCAATAAAACAGAAATAAAGAGAATACAGAGTCAATGAAACAAAGAGTTAGTTCTTTGAGAAAATCAACAAGATAGACAAACCCTTATCCAAACTAACTAAAAGGCAGAGAGGGAGTATCCAAATTAACAAAATCAGAAGAGAAAGAGGAACATAACAACAGACTCCAGGGAAATACAGATAATAATCAGGTCAAACTTCAAAAACCTGTACCCCATAAAATGAAAAATCAAAAGGAAATGGACAAATTTCTTGATAGATACCACATACCAAAATTAAATCAAGATGAGATAAACAATTTAAATGGACTGATAACCCATAAGAAAATAGAGACAGTCATTAAGTCTCCCAACGAAAAACAGTCCAGGGAAAGATGGTTTCAATGCAGAATTCTACCAGATTTTCAAAGAAGAACTAATACCAATATTCTTCAAGTTATTCCACAAAATAGAAATAGAGGGAATATTACCAAATTCTTTTTATGAGGCCACAGTTACTCTGATATTCATACCATATAGAGACTCAACAAAGGAAGAAAATTACAGACCAATTTCCCTCATGAACATTGATGCAAAAATACTCCATAAAATGAAAGGACCAAGGAGATGCCATAATAAGCTGCTCAGTCTTCTCTTAGAGATCAAGCCTCAATTTTAGTTTCCTGAAACTGAGCAAGCAGTTTCTGGGAGGGCCATGACCAAAAGACAATCACTAATGCCCCTGTCAGCAGGGACACACCAAGATAGGACACACCAAGCCTGGGCCACTGAGCCAGCCCCCACAGTCAGCACGTGCTAGGTCAGCCAGCCTCCACAACAGCTCAAGGACAAAGCCTGGGACTTGTCCAGGCCTGCCCAAAAATGGGTAACTGTAACCCCAACTAACCCTAGCCAATTAAAAGTTACTAATATGATTGCCACTCTCATAAACCAATCCTGAGTTTGTTCCTATGTAGTCTGTAGACCCCAAGCATCCCCCTTGACATATCCCCTACAAAAACCCTGCCCATTGATACTTGGGGTTTCTCCTGCTCTGCTGCTGCATCAGATGAGAGGCCCAAGTTAACTCACAATAAAAAGACTCTTTGCTTTTGCATCAAATTTGGTCTCTTGATGGTCTCTGGGGGTCCAGACTCTGGGCACAACAAAAATACTGGCAAATGGAACCCAAGAAAACATCAAAAAGATCGCCCACTATGATCAAGTGGGCTTCATCCCAGAGATACAGGGATGGTTCAACATACGAAAGTCTGTCAATGTAATCCATCACATAAATAAACTGAAAGAAAAAACAATGATCATTTTGTTAGATGCTGAAAAAACCTTTGACAAAATTCAACACCCCTTCATGATAAAAGTCTTGGAGAGATCAGAGATACAAGGGACATACCTAAACATAATAAAAGCAATATACAGCAAGTCATTTGCCAGCATCAAATTAAATGGAGAAAAACTCAAAGCAATTCCACTAAAATGAGAAAAAAAGACAAGGCTGTCTACTCTCTCCATATCTACTCAATACAGTACTTGGAGTTCTAGCCAGAGCAATAAGACAACAAAGGGAGATCAAGAGGATACAAATTGGAAAGGAAGACATCAAAGTATTGCTATTTGTAAATGACATGATAGTATGCACAAGCAACCCCAAAAATTCTACCAAGGAACCCCTACAGCTGATAAACACCTTTAGTGAAGTAGATGGATATAAAGTTAATTCAAAAAAAAAAAGTCAATAGACTTCCTATATACAGAGGACAAACTGGCTAAGCAAGAAATCAGGGAAACAACACGCTTCACAATAGCCACAAACCATGTAAAATATCTTGGTGTAACTCTAACAAAGCAAGTGAAAGACCTATATGACAAGAACTTCAAGTTTTTGAAGAAGATTATCAGAAGATCTCCCATGTTTGTGGATCTGTATGATTAACATAATAAAAATGACCACCTTACCAAAAGCAATCTACAGATTCAATGAAATCCCCATTAAAATTCCAACAAATCCCCATTAAAATTCCAACACAATTCTTTACAGACCTTGAAAGAACAATACTCAACCTCATATGGAAAAACAAAATACCCAGGATGGCTAAAACAATCCTGTACAATAAAAGAACTTCCAGAGGTATCTCAAACTCTAATACACAGCGATAGTAATAAAAACAGCATGGTGTTGGCATAAAAACAGACAGGTGGATCAATTGACTCGAATCAAAGACCCAGACATAAACCCACACATCTATGGACACCTGATTTGACAAAAAAGCCAAAATTATACAATGGAAAAAATATCTTCAGCAAATGGTGCTGGCATAACTGGATGTCAGTAGGTAGAAGAATGCAAATAGATCCATATCTGTCACCGTGCACAAAACTTAAGTCCAAGTGGATAAAAGACTTCAACATAAATCCAGTTACACTGAACCTGATAGAAGAGAAAGTGGAGAATAGCTTTCACTGCGCTGGCACAGGAGACAACTTCCTGAATAGAACACCAGTAGCACAGACACTAAGATCAACAATTAATAAATGAGACCTCATGAAACTGAAAAGCTTCTGTAAGACAAAGGACACTGTCAAAATGAAAAAAACAGTAGCATACACAATGGAAAAAGATGTTTACCAACCTCATATGCAACAGACGGCTGATCTCCAAAATATATAAAGAACTCAAGAAACTAGACATCAAAAACCCAAATAATCCAATTAAAAAATGGAGTACAGACCTAAATAGAGAATTCTCAACAAAAGAATCTCAAATGGCAGAAAAAAAAACTAAAGAAATGTTCAACATCCTTAGCCATCAGAGAAATGCAAATCAAAATGACTCTGAGATTCCATCTTACACCTGTCAGAATGGCTAAGATCAAAAACACAAGTGACAACTCATGCTAGAGAGGATGTGGAGTAAGGGCAACACTCCTCCATAGCTGGTGGGAGTGCAAACTCATACAGTCACTTTGGAAATCAATATGGCAGTTTCTTAAAAATATTGGGAATTGGTCTACCTCAGGACCCAGCTATACCACTCTTGGGTACCAAAAGGATACTCAATCACACCACAAGGACACTTGCTCACCAATGTTCATAGCACCTTTACTCATAATAGCCAGAAACTGAAAACAATCTAGATGTCCCGCAACTGAAAAATGGATAAAGAAAACGTGGTACATTTACAAAAAGGCGTGTTACTCTGCTGTTTATGACATCATGAAATTTGCAGCCAAACTGTTGGAACTAGAAAGAACTCATGCCTCGTGAGGTGACTCAGATGGAGAAAGACACACACGTGGTATGTACTCCCTCATAAATGGATGTTAGTTGCTAACTAAAGGATAACCATGCTACAATCCATAGACCCAGAGAAGCTAGGTAACAAGGAGGGCACAAGGGGTGACAGGGATGCATGGGTTTACCTAGGAAGAGAAAATAGAAGAGATCACCTGGGTGGACTGGGGCCAGGTGGGGATGAGAACTTGAGGGATCAGGTTGGGAAGTAGATGGAGGGAGAGAATACTGAAAGGTTGACTGGAAGGTGGGGAGGCATTTCAAGATCAGGTAGAAATGAGATGCAAGGGAAACTCTCATAAATCTACAAAGATAACCCAAACTAAGACTCCTAACAATAATGGATATGTAGGCTGAACTGGCCCTTCCTGTGATCAGATTGGTGACTACCCCAATTGTCATCAGAGATCCTTCATCCTGTAACTGATGGAAACAGATGCAGAGACTCACAGCCAAACATTAGATTGTGCTTGGGGAATCCTTCTGAAGAGAGGGAGAAAGGATTGTAGGAGCCAGAAGGGTCAAGGACATCACAAGACAACCCACAAAAACAACTAACCTGGCTCATAGGAACTAACAGAGTCTAAACTAACAACCAAAGAGGTCTGCATGGGACCGACCCGGGCCCTCTACAAATATGTGACAATTGTGTAGCTTGGTCCACATATGGGACTCCTAACAATGGGAGCAGGGGCTGTCCCTAATGGTTTGGCTAGCTCTTGGAAACCTATTCCTCATACTGGATTGCTTTTCCCAGCCTTAATTCAAGGGGAGGCATTTAGTCTTATTGCAACTTGATATGCCATAC